AATAATAATAATATAAATATTATAAAGCTAGTAATAATAAATATATAGATAATATTATTAATAACTATTTAAAAGAGTATCTAAGCTATAGAAATAAATATATATATATATTAGTATATTTACTAGAGTATTTATAAAGATCTTTACTTAGGATTTTACTTAGTTAAAGTAAAGTTAATCTTATTAGTCTCTAAGATAGATTAGCTAAGCTATCTTATATATAATTTTATATAGTTAGACTAGAGGTTTTTATTTATAATATATTCTTATAAATCTAAGCTAATATAATTAGAATTAAATTAGCTTTAATAAATAAATTAGTTAGAAACTAATAATAGATCTATCTTTAAGGAAAAAAGAAATTAAATAAACTTTTTATATAGATATAATTTAGCTATCTAATAGAAGAAGAGAAATTAGATAAGCTCTTTATAGATATATAAAGAAACTATTTAAAAAGTTAAAGAGATTAGATAAACTCTTTAGCTTTAAGTATTATAACTATTTAATAAAGGAAAATAGATTAAATAGATTCTTTAGCTCTAAATAATATAGATATCTAATAAGAGAAAATAGATTAAATAGACCCTTTAGCTCTAAATAATATAAATATCTAATAAGGGAAAATAAATTAAATAAATCCTTTAGCTCTAAGTATTATAGCTATCTAACTAAGAAAAATAAATTAAATAAACTCTTTAGCTTTAAATAATATAATTATCTTCTTAGTAAGGTAGATAGAATAATTATATTATAAATAGATAATTTTACTATCTAATAGTAGAAAGTAGATTAAATAGAATTATTATAAATCTATAAGAGAGCTATCTAATAAGAGAAGAGGAATTAAATAGGCTTATTAGATTCTAATAATCTAATTATCTAGCTGAGAAAAGCAGATTAGATAAAGTTATTATAGACTCTTAAGAGAGCTATTTAATAAAAAAAGAGCAGTTAGATAAACTCTTTAAAGATATATAATTTAGCTATTATAAGAGATTAATTATAATAGATAGACTTTTTATAGATTAATAATTAGATTATCTATATTAGAAAGCTTAGATAAATATATTCTTTATTAGTTAATAATTTATCTATTTATAAGAATAAGCTTATTAGAATAATATTATCCCTCTAGAATAGCTATTTAGATCCCAGGCTTTTAACTAAATCCTTAGTAGTTTCTAGAGTTTAGATAAATAGATAAGTTATATTTATAATAGCTAGATCTAATAAATAGGCTCTTTATATATTAATAACCAGGCTATCTATATTAGAAGACTTAAATAGATAGGGTTATTAGAGTTAGTAAGAGAACTATTTATTTGAGAATAGATTTATTATAAATATATAATCTAGCTATCTATAGCTATAGGTTTATATAAATAGATTTATTATAAGTATATAGTCTAGCTATCTAATAGAAGAAAAGAAGTTAGATAAACTCTTTATAGAAATATAAAGAGACTATCTAAGAAGTTAAAGAGATTAGATAGTCTCTTTAGCTCTAAGTAATATAGCTATCTATAGCTATAAACTAATATAGATAGACTTATTAAGAGTTTATAATAAAGCTATCTATAGTAGTTAATTTATATAGATAGATTAGTATTTTTAAAGTCTTATAATAATAAAGAATTACTACTATCTATTATACTTAGAACTAGCTATAACTAGCTAGAGTATTATAAATAAGTTCTTAGTTATTAACTATAGGGTAGCTATAGTTAGATAGCTTATAGTTAAAATCTAGGTTTATAATATCTTTATTTATATATAAGATAATATAATTCTTAAGACTTAATCTTCTATCTAGATTATCTAGCTAGATTATAGCAGCTTATATAACTATTAGACTGCTTATCTAAGCAGGATCCAGCTATAAGCTAGCTAACCCCTGCTAGAACTCTTCTTAGTATAATAACTCTAATAAATAGTTTATACTTAGTTTTAATCTATTTATTAGTTAGATATTATATAATTTTAGTTATAACTTACTTAAAAGTATAACTTAACTAGAGTTTCTTAATATCTATAAACCTAAAGGTTAAAAAGCTAAAATAAAAGATTATATATTCTATAAAGAGGAATTTTACTTATTTTCTAAATAGTAAATAGATTAATAGTAAGAACTTATTATTAGAGAATTTAGTTTAATTATAGTTATATTCTATTATTAAGAGTTAGCTAAATAGAGAAAAAAGAATAATTATACTTTTTATATCTAGAAGAGTTATTAAACTTATCTAGATAATAGTATATTTAATATATTAGCTTTATTATTATCTATTAGCTACTAATAGCTACTGCTTTATAAGTAGGCTTTTTATATTATTTAATAGTATACTTTATCTATAGATAGACTAATCTCTATACTAGTATTATAAATTCTATTATTATATATTAGATTATATATAGAACTCTATTTTTCTCTACTAATTAATAATAGATTATTAGAATTTTATAATAATTTCTATAATCTAGAGAAATAGATTATTATTAAATTTTAATAATTCTCTAGTATATATATATACTTATTTCTAGATAGAATACTAGCTTAATAATTATTAATAAATAAATATTAGTTTATATATACTACTATAAGTCTAATCTTACTATTTAATTTAATATTTAATTTCTAAGTAATAAAACTATTATCTCTCTCTCTAGTATAACTATTAACTAAATTAAGATATATATTATTCTTAAGCTATTCTATAGCTTAAGAGTATACTATTACTATAATTATCTATATATCTTCTTATTAGCTAGCTACTAGATAAAGTAATAGTTCTAGTAGATATAACTACTAGATCTATATATAAGAGAGTAGCTTTATTATTATAAGTAAGTCTATAATAGAGTATAAGCTTAAATAATTAATATCTAAAAAGAGATTCTAATAGTTATTACTAATAACTACTATTATATATATAAGAACCTAGTTACTTATAATAATCAGACTCTAGCTACAGGGGGTAATTATATTAAAGATATCTATTATTACTATTATTATAAGAGGTAGTTAATAATAATAAGCTTAGAGAGATATTATAGTTAATTATAAATAATAAGTATTTCCCTTTAGAGTCTATAGCTAAGTTATATATACTTAATAAGCTCTTTTTAGAGTTCTTAGAGTTACTATTATTTATATCTTAGCTAGCTATATAATAAAAGATAAAAAAAATAGAGTTAAAGATTAGGTATAGACTGGAACTTAGTTAAAAACTAATTATATAGATTATATTATATATAGTTTGATCTTAGGATATTACCCCTTATATATAGTAAAAACCTCTAAAAAAAATTTAAATAGTACTAGCTAGTTTTTAACTATATTAAGATAATTCTTATTTTATATAAACTTAATTATATTTTTAATTTTAAATATTAATTAATAAAGATTATTTATCTTTTTATTAACTTTCTAGATATTAATACTCTTTTTAAAATAATAAATAAGAAAATATTAATTATTTTTAATAAAATTATTAAGCCTTTTTATTTTTTTACTTTAGTTAATATAATCTTATATAGTAATTCTTTTATATAAACTATAGCTATTATTACTATATAGTTTTATTACTTTTTATTTTTATATATATTAAAATAATTATAGATACTATAGATAACTAAGTAAGGGAAGTAATATAAACCTACTACTTTTATTTCAAACTAGAGAATATTCTTCTTCTTTATAAGTATATCTCAAATTAAAGCATCCTTCATTAGCCTATTCACTAAAGCGATTAGGCCATAGTAGATCGATGGATTATCTTCGTCCTCAGCCCGCTCGAGCCGCACTACTAGAGTGGATGGGTCATTGCCACAAGCTGCCGCACAGCTAGACTCGTCATTAGTTGCTTTCGCTGTTGCCTTGGCTTTCCCAGCCTTGGACCATCTCGTACTGGAGTCAACTAGAAATCATCATTCGTATCTGATCTGTGTGGCTGAAATAGATGGGTATTACGCTGACCTGCTTTGCTCCACTATCACAAGTTTTACAAAGGCTCTTGTTATATGGTATCTGTTCATATCGACGGCAAGATACGCAAGAAACTCCCCTCACGCCCCGTACTTACTGGAAATTACATAGAATCATGTTCATGACTAAATTAACATGAAGAGGCTTTCTGAATTCCAACAGAGTGGTTGCCCCGTTGGGAGGGCCCTTGACCGGCGAGAGTGTCTAAATCACACCCGCTCCGACAGGCTAACCTTCCAAAGTCTCATTGTCCTTGGAAATTGGTGGAAGTTTAACTGCGCGTTTAATGGGGGACAACTGGTCATTGTACCCTCCCTGATCTGTTTTCATTGTCCATTTTCAGCACAGCCTCGGCGCCGAAAGGTTGGGTCATATCTCCGTTAGCGAATCAGATATCACTAGCAACCATCACAACGATCACGCATACGGGGTTTTTGAGATGAGAATAACCTTGAGTATTGGACACTCCCTATTCATACATTCCTCTTTACTCAAATTAGCATCAGCTTAGACTGACAACATGACTGTATTACCCAGATGTTCCTCCACAAGTGATATCTTGATGGTCTTTAGGTACCCCACAGCAACGCCTTCCGTTGAGACTTGCTTCCGGGATTTCTCGGCACGACTGGTGTTCAGTTTTCTTATAATATACGCCTTGTTCACAGGGTGGAGGCTTCTCGCCAGCGAGCAGGCCGCGGGAGTAGCAGCTCGTAGCGTAGAGGAGGACCAGATCACTGATATGGATGTGGTCCCATTCGCCAGCCCCCGAGCCGACGGCGGAAACAACGTCATATTTTTCAATTAGCGGATGACTTTGAAGCGATGTCTGTTATAGAAGCCTGAGCCACTCCCAGAGATGGTTGGTGGCTTGAGAATGTTGAATCTTAGATCTCGAATTCAGTTTGCGAGCAGTTCTGATTCCAAGTTCGCAAAATTCGGCTTTTGAGACGGCAAATAAAGCCGCCTCCGTATATTTCTCTCCTTTGTATGTTAGATAGACGTTGTATTATCAGCCAAATAGAAGGGAGAGTCCGGAAGTGTCATTGGAGTTAATCACAACTCGTTTTAGTTCATCTTCCTTGCGCATTTCGGCGGACAGTCTTACTCGGTCACGGCAAATTTCTGTCCCGGAGGCCGCATGGGCCCTTTGCCCGCTCAAAACCTGCTTTTCCTCGGAAATAGGTGTCGCAAACGGCCCTGCAGCGTTTGCATTCTGTAGTGGCGGCTTTGGCAACTCGTAGTCTCCGCCGAGTTCAGCTACATGAGGCGGAAAACCTGGAACTCTTGTATCCCCACACAACTCGGCAAGGTTTCGTTGGCCGGGCTTTCCTGCGCCTCGGACCTTATCTCTATCGATCGGCCCTCCATTCGTTTCTCCGATGGGATATATTTTGGGGTCATGATGACAGTCTCCTAGCTCGACGGGGGACCTGTTGCCAACATCGTTCGTTTGACGAGACCGTACTGGAAAGGGTCACTGGTTAGAAACTTGGCATGTCATATCAATCTTGAGATTATCCGCTTACATGACGTATTCCCAATGATCTCTGCTAGCAGGTCAACGTTGTCGAAAGTTGGGATGTTGCGACCGGTATTCACCCCATTGTTGCTAATGTCATGACCGCTCGAGGCCAATTGGCGTAAGCGGTACAATTTTGATAGGACACTTGCATGGTATTGTCCTACGATTGAAGTCTGTGTGCGGAAGCCTATTGATTCCACAATACCGTCAGGCGTTTTCTGGAGCACATATTTTCCCATAGAATCAATCCCTAAGTAAAGGTCGACAGTCTCGTAAACTTCGTTTAGTCCCTTGCGAACATCATCGATCAGGCGACTTATCTGGTCAGAAATGCCCCGCTGGAGATGGATGAATGCACGGCGGTCATTGTAAAGATTGTCGAGAAGTTCCAAGTCTTTCTCGCAGGCTTGAGCAACTTTGATGAAAAGGTCAGTCTCAACAGTCGCTCGGGATGGATGTATCTCCAGGACGGCTTGAAGCGGAACTGGCTGCGGCATTGCTGGAGTACTGAAGTTGGCAAACCTGTCCCACTAGTAGGTCTTGGGAAGAAAGTAGCGGTCCCAGACTAGGCCTCGTAGGCCTCAAAGGTTAACTGGCACTTACTTCCAACAATTAATCTTCCGAATTACTCCGACGGATGCATTGCGTGGGATGTAGGATCAAGAAGATGGTCTAAGAGCGGAATCGTGTGAGCGGAACCGTTTGAAATATTTCGCCCGATCCAAGGCTGCCTGTGAGGCATAATCCATCGACTAGCATGGACAATAGTTCTCGACTGTTGGAAATGTTGGTACTGACGTTTCGCGGGGTAAGACCATCTACGTTCTGCGCTCATGAGGCCAGCCACCTCGGCGGATGGCGTAGAACCACAACGCCACCTTGGTACTAGAGCTACATGGTTCAACGGCTGAGGCTGAATCCAAAGCATGTTCATTCAGCAAATATTTATGGACTGAGAGTCTGGATCGAGCTTTTGTTGCCGACATACCCGTAGAAAGTTAGACCTCTGCCTACCGACTGCATTGGCCCGCTTACGACTTAATGACTGAGAGAGGAGGCGGAAAACAACATAAGCAGGCAAATCTTCAGTAAGAGATGAAAATGATGATGATTGAAAAACAAAAATAATACAATTCAATTCAAACGTAAAAATAAGAGAAAACCAAGTTGCCCGGTTGGGCGACCCTTATTGTAAATTCCATGGCCACGTCCTGCCGTTAGAGTTGGTGGGTGAACCATCCCAGCCCAACAACGATTGATATCCGTGCGGGTCGTACTCGTCTTAGGCCTCGCGTCATCGAGCAGTTATTTTAGCAAGATGGACGCCTCGGTCGGGTCCAAGACAGGTTTTGGGGGGCTATATCTTGCACCATTCCTATCACTTGACTTCTCTAAGCCTGGGCACACCACTACCTGGCCGCTCTTCTTGCCGACGAACACAAGCTGCCAATCGTTGGGGTGCGAAAATAGCATGTACCCCAACTTGGCGCCCTCTTCAATGACAGCTTGTAGATGCTTTTTCTGACCGGAGTGGCTTTCGGCTGTGGTGAAATGCTGGAGGAAGGGGTCGAGGGCATCCGTCAGAATACGAGCCTGACTGGAAACATCGCTTTCGACGGGAGGCAATGAAGTACGGTCAGAGGGGGTGGGATGAAGCAGCAAAGCTGAAGTCTTCCGCCAGTTGGACATGGCAAGCGGAAGTCCTAGCGACATCATGAGCCGAGTTTCAATACACTACAGACTGACAAGGTCACGACGGTCTGCTCACCTAATGATTGGCTCTCCTGGGCACGCCTCCTTGGAATGGAGCGAACAAAGCTAGCTACAGAGGCAGGAAGCATTGATGGTGTGTTGGGTTGCTGAAAGTCGATGCCTTTGAAAAGCACCCACGATATAACATGCCGAAGCCCAACTTGTCTGTTTTTTGGGTCAATGCAAGCCGCGGCAACGATTTCGGGGGTGAGGTTTGGGTCTCTGGGGAAGCCGAGTCGTGAGAGCTCTGAGCTGAGCAGGGTGACGCTTTGTCGAACGGGCTGTTTATGGTAGCTGTTCTCTACGTGTTGGTAGATCAGATCTCCTAGACATTCCAGCTCAGTGGCAAGCTCTTGATCAGGCACACCATCCAAAAAGAAGGGGGCGAGATCAGCTTCACGTCTCGTGTTGCTGGTCGTGGATGATTCGTGGACGTAGCCCTTTGGCTCACCAGCGGCTCCCTCATCATACCCTGGGCTAAACGCTGGGCGGCGTTGCTTGCGTCGACGAAGTAAAAGCCAGCAAATAAGCGCTCCGATGAGGACGCCCCCGATGAAACACCCAACTGCAGCACCGGCAACAGCACCGCCAGATACACCAGGTGTCGAATTACAAGCGGGAGGAGGAGGGGTACTCGTATTGCTGGAAGCAGCGGTACTCGTATTTCTGGAAATAGATGCGTCGTTCAGGGATGTCATTACGTTGGATTGACTAGAAAATGATGAGATGGGGGGAATTGAATGAGGGAAGGTATCGTAAGCCGTGCTGAAAGTTGTGTCCAGAGATCGAGTTTGCTTGGGTTTGGCATATCTGAATGAGCCCCCAGTTTATTAGAGAGCCGATGCCCTGGGCCGTGATGCAATTGCTAAGGCCGAGACCTCGTCAGACTTTCAGAGCTGAATAGACGAGGGTTGCCGCTAAACCTAGTTGCCACCCTCCGATTTCCGCTATGTATGAAACAAGGGCATAAGTCCAGCCTTGTCCATTGTGCTAGGCAACGAATATATAGTTGGCTGTCCTAAAGTTTATGCCCAGCTACCTCATAGTGCCTTATCTCCAAGTTACAAGATCGAAGGAGGGATGAACCCCAAGACTGCAACAACATGGCTGCCAACGCCGATATTATTGTAGCTATAGACCTCGGCACCACTTTTACAGGTGAGTTAGATTTGTTCCAGTTAGACTTCTGTCTGACAGAATTCAAACGTGCAGGTGTGGCGTGGATGACACCGAAGAGACCACCACACGTCATCAATGACTGGCCCGGAAGTGGTGATCGAAGTGAACGCAAGGTCCCGACCACCCTGGTCTATAATTCGGATGGGAGCATCTCTTCTTGGGGTTTCCTGTGCGAGGATGACGACGACGACGATGCGGGTTCTTCCAAGACGCGCAGAGAGTTCTTCAAGATTTTTCTCGACCAAGACACCTTGACAGCAGCTCAAAGGCAAGGAATCTCAAGTGTACCTTCCAGCACGAATGAGGCGCAACGATTTATCATAGACTATCTCAAAGAGATATACAGCCACGTAAAGGAGATCATCGAGACACAAATTGGGAAGCGGTCCCTTGGCGGTTGGGGACAGCTGAATGCCGTGTTTCTGTTCAGTGTGCCCACCACGTGGACGAGCATGGCCATTATCAATACCTTCAAAGGTATCATCAAAAGTGCTGGGTTCGGTACAGAGGGCCCTAATCATACAGCACAGCTCGATTTGACTGAGGCAGAGGCGGCCTCAATTGCCACATTGAAGATGAGCCCTCTCGAGTTTCAAAAGGGAAGCCTCTTTCTAACCGTAGATGCCGGTGGCGGCACAACAGACCTTGCTCTGATGCGCGTCACATCAACCGAGGCTTCATACCCGGAGATCTCCCAGGTCGCTTCTGTCACTGGCATTGGTATAGGCTCAACTCTGATTGATAGGGCCTTTGTTCGATTAGTGACTGAGCGGCTTGAAGCTTATCCTGAGGTCCGGAGAGTCTTACCCACGTACAATATCATCGTGAGTTCGAGGAGCAGCCAGCTCAAGGCATACGCCACTAAGATGTCCAGAAGCCCTTTGTTCATCAATGCAATTAAGCACAAGTTTGGAGAGAAAAGCTGGACGTGGGACAACTTCAGGTTCAAGATGGACGGAGTCTCTCACGAGTTCAGCCACCCAGGGCTTCGCATTGAAAATGGAAGGATGCTCTTCTCAAAGTACGTCAATCACGATTGGTCAGCCTATCATAAATTCTAACAGGACCAGGGAGGAGATTCAACAGCTCTTTGACAGTCAGATAGAAGGTATGATAAAAAAAATCAGGGAGCAGCTTGACTGGATTACGCAATCAGGGATGCGCGAACAAGTGGTCAGTTGATGTGAAATCTCAAGCGAGGCTGGATATTAACATCTCATTTTGACAGGCATACATGGTTTTGGCCGGGGGGCTGGGTAGCTCGGTGTATGTGCGGCGGAAGATTCAAGAGTATTTGATGTCTTGCAATCACCCGAACGCTAATCAAGTAGTTGTCATCCCATGCCAAGAACCTCAACTGGCGGTTATTCGTGGCCTTTTATTGGATCAGCAGCAAAAGCTTGAAACAGGATCACACGTTCTCAAGACCAGGATAGCCCGAGCAAGCTATGGTGTTTTGGTAAAAGTTCCCTATTCCGCTGCTCTCCACGCCAGTGAGGACACGGAGGTTGACCGGTTTGACCGTGATCGCACCTGGGCGCTTAGGCAGATCCACTGGCTCATACGAAAGGTTCGCATGGAATCTACTTGCTACCTACTTACACTATCTAACAATCCTCTCAGGGAGATGCGATCGACTCAGACGCTGTGCTGACCAAAGGTTTCGAGTTTTGGCTCGGCCCACGCGAGACTACGAGGACGTGGGATGCCATTTTTCTGATTTCCCACAATGAAGCCTCCCAGCTCCCCAAAAGCTTGAAACAACGTACGTCAATCGTCCGTGTCTGGGCCTAAATCGAAAAGATCACTAACACGCACTAGCCGGAGCGAGCAAGTTGTGCTCCGTGGAGAGCAATCTATCTGGTGTCAAGCAGCATGAATTAGTTATGAAGCACAAGCGAGGTACTTGCCTCAGGAGAGGAAAAACCTACTATATTTGTAACTTTGACATCCATGTCATCGTTGCTCCAGCCGACATACGGTTTGAGCTTTGGTTCGGCGGGCGCAAATGGTCCGGCAACCACGAGCCTATCTTGGTGACATGGGACTAGGTGATATAATAAGGAAATGGTTATGTTTAATAGATAAACACATTCTTGGCTGCCATATACTTGAACTACACCTTGCCTTCATCGGCCACACATAGGTATTCAGGATTACATCTGAACAGTTCGGGTAACTGTGGCCGTTCATATTTCAGTGAGGAACCAACCCACGATTGGCTAGTTGTTGGTGGCGCAATGATGAATGGCTGGTAGGAAATGACGCCATCACTAGTCTGAGTGACTATAATCAGCTCACAAATCCTTGCCAGCATTCACATGCCCCCACTGGTTGATATACTGCGAGATGGAGAGTATGAATGGCTCGTAAAACGATATAATGGAAGCTGACCATTAATGGCGAATAAATCAATCAATCGATGAAGTCATGGAGCACCAGCGGAGCCTATGTGGCAAGTGCTTTGACCGAAGTGCATCTGACCTGAACCCTTTCCCTCCCTGCAGTTTTAACTAAGAATAAATCAAACAGGGGACCTTCGAGAAAGGCATGGGCGACGATGCGAGCGAGTATCTCTAAGACCACGAAAAGTAAAGCAAAAATCCTGACGAGCCTGTGTCAAGTCCAAAACTGCCTGCGATCAACTACAGCCATATTGCTCTCGGTGCACAACAAAGGGTATCGACTGCCAATATGTTGTCAGCTCAATTGAATCACCCTTGGTTGTCAATCACACAGAAAATCATAGTAAGTTGCGTCCACTTCTTGGTCCAGAAACCGATTTCGGACTAGATACCCACCCACTTGAACCCTTAGAGTTCGATAACACAATGTTCCTCAGTGATGATAGACAGAGTGAAAACATGAGTAATACGATTCGTTCCACTTCAATGGACCTCGCTATTAGATCTACAGATTATCTTCCCCAGATTGACTATCCCTCAGAAGCTATTTTGGGTGCAGCCACGGAAACCCCACACCTGGCTATATATCCGGATTCGAATCAAGGTCAGAATGATACAGAGATAAACTTACTGGCCTCTTTCGGTATACCACCCGCCGAAGGTTCATCACAAGGGACTCAAACGACCAAAGATTCTCGATTTGAGAGCTTTACCTGATATGCCCTTTTAAACTGGGACGAGCTGCCTGGCATAGAGGAAGAAATACACAGATCTAGGGGGACGGAAATAGAACTTGAGCCCACGGTAGAGCTCGAACTCTCTCTTAGTAGGCCGCTACACCTGCATCTCCTCCCTCTGGACAACTGCCTACCATCACGATCTATGACAAGCTCTGGTGGAAGACTTGATGACCTGGATGAGTTTAGGGACATACTAGTTGATAGTAAGGGATATACTAGTTGATGGTAATATATTAGATCCAGGGATCTCCCTCATTCTCGGACTAGATGGGATGCTTCTAATATTATAGAGCTTGCTAGTAGTTAATATCTAACTTATATATCTTCCTAATGTTATAGAGCTTATTATAATCGGACTAGGTGCCTCTAATATTATAGAGCTTACTAGGATCTAACTAGATACCTCTAATATTATAGAGCTTACTAAGGTTAAGCTTAAGGTCCCTAAGGTTATTAATACTTAGATTAAGGATATATTATTAGTTATTTAGGCTTTTTAAGTACTAACGCTATAACTATTAGAACCTCTAGAAATATCTAAAGCTATATAGATATAATTTACTTTTTAGAGAAAGAGCTTATAACTCCTATAGTAAATTATTAATAATATAGGCTAGGAGGGTAAAGTATTAAGTAACTTAAGGCTATTTAAGATTAATATAATACTTAAGTTTCCTATAATATTTAAGCTATAAGAGATAGATAAGTTTGCATTAGTCAGAGGCCGCTACACTAGGTACTCGGGCTACATTAAACCATAGCCCTTGAACGTTTGTGTCCCTGTCTGTAATAAACGTGGCCCCGAAGAGACATCGGGGTTCTCTGTGAGCTCGGAGACAACGAGGGCCCAGGCTGCGTGTATGGTAGCCTGAAGATTAGCATGAGATGTAGCCCTGGAATTAATCCTCTGGACCAAATTGGAAGTTGGACGTGCTCAGGCTGTCCGGTGCGGTCAGCCGCGGCAAGTCTTGGCGTCCAGAACCCTTCTCCCTCTCTTATATCCTAACCCTTATTTCGCGTTATCGATTTCCCGGAAATGTGAATCCCCGCCCGCCCATTGGCCGGCAGGAGGCCGCTCCCCATTGGCTCGGCTAGGGTTAAGGTGGGGCGGTAAGGTGATTGGCTCCCCCTTGCTGTGAAATGCGAAAATGGGGAGGTATGATTGGCCGGCCCACCCAGCCCTGCCCAGCCCAGCCCAGCCCCGCTAGCAGTTCAAGAGTAATCACTTATGCGATTAAGTACCATAGTAAACCAACGGCTTTTGCTCGAACCTAAAGCTATTTATTTGACTCAATTGGGTGAGAAGTTAAGTGCCTCGCCAAGCTGTGGACTAAGCCTGTTAGAAATCACACGTGAAAGGTTGCCGCTGGGATTGTGGGGTTACAACCCGTTTACTAAGGTATAGTACATCGTGTGGGTAGTACTACGTCTGGTAAGGATATCTACATCCAAACCTAATAGGCTCCATATGTCTGAGTTTCACTATACAATATTTAAACTTTTGGCAAAACATATATTCTAAGGCTCAACTACTCGTCCTCCGATGCACTAGTGTACGGCATCTGCTATGTAATAGTCTGGGATTGGGTGCATAATATATAGTTCGTGCGCCGCCTTGTCTAGCTTGTCCACCTCGTAGGACGATTTACAAAACCGGCCGGCGAGCTGAACTCGTCGGTTGCCACCAAGGTACAGATAGTTTGTGATGGATATGACTTTAGAGGGTGGTCAGACGCAACCAAAGTTTGGGGGATGTGGGTCAGAGAGGCAGCCAGCTGTTTCCCCCAGACTTCATCCTATAGAATAAGACCACTGGGATAGAATGGTTCACCTTATTTGTCTCAACCAATTCTCCATCTTAGAATTTCTCCCTACAGTATTTACTTCCACGATCACTATTCTACAGGCTTGAACATTACAGATCGACCTAGGAACCATGAACAACACAACTAGCGGCATCTACTCCAATGACCAAATGAGAAAATGGGATGCCATAGTTCGCTCTGGGTGGCCGGTCGTTATCAGCAGCAACTCCTGGGCGATTTCTATTGCTCTTATAACCCTCTTGTATCAACTAGTTGCGGCGCGGCTCTTCAGGCCGTACGCCATGGGGCTCTTCTGGCTTCTTTCTGAAGATCACCGGGCGTGGGACGTTGACCAAGTCAGAGTGGCTATGGCAAATACGATGAGTCCGCTGACCGCACTTCTCAGCAAGCCCGCATATCGAATCCTGATCAGTAGTTTCTCCACAAAATATCGGCTGGCGAGGAGCATTGCTCTGCTTTGGCTGCTCGGCGCCCTGTCGTTGGGTGTGATCCCCTTCTTTATACCTCTACTTCTAGCGAGGGAAATACCCGTGGTCCAGGGAGTCCCTGGCTCGACTGATGACTGCATCCTGATGCCCAATTTCACCAATTGGATGGCCAGTGCCCAATACGACGGGTTGCTCTCTGTGGATATGTTGCGATCCGCCGACGTCGACAGATATAACTATACCGCCACGAATGCCGCATCTGTTGGTCTCCCCAACAACAAAGACCGAGTAGTAATATCTTCGGACTGCCCGGAGTGGGCACCCATCTGCGACCGGAGCAATCCATTGCGAATTGATATCGACTTCTGGCTAAAGCAGTCTGACTTGGGTATTGGCAGCAGAGCACGGTCCGAACATGTTGAGTTCGGAGTATTGAATACCTGCTACAAGCTTGAAATTCGCACAAAAGTCCTACAGACAGAGGAAGACGGGACAAACATTTACGGATTGCTCTATGGCACGGACCATAATTTAAGTGATTTTGTGACCGATAAAGTTAACCCCGGGAAGGAGGCGTTTGGATACGGGTACAACCTATTTCCCCACTTTAACACCAGCGGGGATTCTACAAAACCCCTCTGGACACCCAACGACACGCTAGCCCACTACGGCGATCGAACGCTTCTATTCTATCATCTTGGCGGCATTTTTAGCCCAAGTCCGAGCAGTGATCCGATATTTGGAACGAACACCACGCCTATCGAGGAGCATTATATTTATTTACACCGAGTTATACCGGTTATATGTAATACAAGTTACGCCTACTGTCCCAGGGAAGGGGGAGACTGCTTTTCTCTTGGCGGCACCGATGCGGTTGGCAAATATAGTAAGAGCAAAGGCCTGGGCTTTCTTGAGCTAATGTGGGCAAACACATGGATCTCCTTGTTTTCAACGGTCACCCACAGCAGCGAGTCGGTCTATGCTAGTCGCACCCTATCCTTCGGAACGACACAGCTGGCTCCGGGCGAGGTAAGCGGACACGCGGAAATTATACGACTTGTACTCGCGAGCCGCGTGCTGCTCTTGACATCCGCCAAGAGAGCCGTATCTGACTGGCGCAGGTATGTCTCGTGGAGCCTCCCAGAGCAGACCACGAAGAAGACAGAGTCGCTGCTAGAGACGTGCCGGCTGACGCTGATGGAAGACCCGGCACACATCACAACGTCCGCACGGGCACTCCTCATCGTCGTCCTCATTGGTAGTGTACCTTTGCTGCTCTCTTTCACCGGTCCCATGCTTCGCTATTTCCTCTGGAGACGGTTGTGCGTCTTTACGATCCGATGGAGGCTGCGCACGGCGCCACATTTGCATCGGACCACGTTGGAGCGCGGGGATCCGGATCGATTCTGGCCCGGTGACGTGGCGGACGAATGGCCGGTCGGAAGGGGCTGTGCGGATGAAGTGGGATTGGTCGAGAGTTACACGGGATACCATGCAGTTTACCGACCTGATGCTGAGTTGAGATATATGCCAAAGCACAGGCCGAGGCGTGCAGATGTGTGACATTTGTACCTCAAGCTATCGCTCAACGATCTGTAGAGCATGGCACTTCAACTTATATGCCGGTTCTTGGACAAGTATATCGCCGATCCCGACTCTGCATCATCCCACTGTCCTTCAAACCTAAAGTATGTAGCTATATAATGAACAAGAGAAGCCTTTGCCTTAGCCTCACCTTCTAAACTAAAATTATATAATTATAGTATAATATTTATATATAATAAGTATATTATATTATATATATATATTATCTATACTATATAAACTATATTTAATCTTTATTAGTATATAGTAACTTTATAATTAGCTATTATAATTTTCTTTAAATAATCTATAATAGTATTAGATTAATTAATCTACTATATTCTAATAAATTTTTTAATAATTTAATTTAATTTAATTCTCTTCTATTTATCTAAATATAAATAATCTTTACTAATATTAGATTTTAAAAGCTATCTCTATCTAGATTAATTCTATATAATATATAATATATTATTAAAACTAGAAACTATATCTTAGAATTTTATAATTATTAAGTATTTAGAGATTATTATCTAGTTTCTCTTTCTTAAGTATTTTATATAGAGTAGAATTTATTATTTACTCTTTATAAGCTTTATAATATAATATTAGATCTAATAGTTATAATTACTAGATCTATATAATTAAAAATAGCTTTATAGCTATAAGAAATCTAGTAATAGAATATAAATTTAATTATTTTATATTATTAATAAAAATATAAGAGTTCTTATTAATTATTATTATTATATAGTTAAAGATCTAGTTATATATAATAATTAGGCTCTAGCTATAGAGAATAATAATATTAGAGATATCTATTATTATTATAAAAAGAGATAATTAATAATTAGTAATAATAAGCTTAAAGAGATATTATAATTAATTATAAATAATAAATATTCTTTTTTAGAGCTTATAATTAAGTTATATATTTAATAAACTTTTTTTAAAGTTTTTAAAAAAGCTATTATTTTATTTTAGCTTATATAAATAAAAAATAAAAAAAAAAAAAAAAAATTAAAAACTAAATATAGATTAAAACTTAGTTAAAAATAAATTATATAGAACTAGTTATATATAATTTAATCTTAGAATATTTCTTATATATAGTAAAAACTTTTAAAAAAAAATTAAAATAATATTTATTAAAGAAATTTATAAATATTTATTTTTAGAATATTAAAAAATTAATAATTAAAATAAAATATAATAATACTTTAATAGCTATTAATAAATTTATAAAATATAAATATTTTATTTTATATAAAAAAATAAGCTTTATAAAAAGTTTTATATATTAGTTTTTATAATATATAATTAGTTATTATAAATTATTTAATAAAATAATTTAAATAAAAAAATAATATTTATTTTTAAGTTTTAATAATTATTTATAATATAAATAAATATAAAGTATAAGTTTTTAATAGTTTATTATTTATAAAATAATAATTAAATAGAATAATTAAATTAAATTTTAAAATAATATTTATATAAATATATATTAATTATAAATAAAATAATTAAATATAATTATTATTTATAGTTTAGATTATATATAATAAATTAATATAAAAATCTATTTAGTTTATATATATATATATATAAATTATAATCATAAATTATAATTTTAAAATTAATTAGAATTTAATAAACTAAATATATTAATTATTATATTTATAAAGAAAATATTATATTTACTATATATAGAAATAAAAATAAAACTTAAATTTATTTAATAAAGAATAAAAAAATAATATAATAAAAATAATATTATATAGTATAACTAAGTATATATAAATAGGTATTAGATTAATATTAAATCTATATTATTTCTAATAAAAATTTCCTATAGTAGTAAATATATATTATACTTATAAAAATAAATTAACTTATAATCTTAAAAATAACTAACTTTTTTATTTCTAAATATATATAATTCTAGATTAAATTAAAATAAACTCTAATATATTAATACTAAGCCTGATCTAATCTAACTAATATTCTAATCTAAATATAACTAAAAATAATATAAAGTTTAAATAATTAATTTTTAAGAGCTATTTTTACTCTTATTAATTTAATATAGTATATAATATACTAAAACTATAAGTTATATATCAGATTATAATAAGTCTATATAAGAGAGTAACTATTCTTAAGATATAGTATTTATTTAAGCTAATCTTAATTCTCTATAAATACCTATAGTAACTGCTAGTAGCAGGCTGTATAATAAAGTAATAATCTGAGTAGATATAGCTACTGGACTTATATTATTAAAAGTAGCTTTATTACTATAAGTAGGCTCTTAATTAATTAAAGAGATATATAATAAATATAGTTAGTAAATAGCTATATTAGATTACCTTAGATAATAATTATTATTACTTTAAGAGTTTTATTAGTAATATTAAATAGGCTCTAAGAGATTAGAATATTTATATTAGATATTATAGCTATTTAAGGTATCTAATAATTAATTAATTAAGATAAGAAAAGATAATTACTATTATTAGATAATAAGCTTCCCCCCTTAGGAGCTATAGCTATAGCTAGGCTATTTATATATCTAGCTAAATAAATAGCTCCTATTATTAGAGTTTTTAAGATATTAATACCTATACCCAGACTAAAAGTATTTAATTTTAATATTATCTTATAGTATTAAAGATTTAGATATAGACTACTAATTATATTCTTAAAAAATATATATTAAATTATATATTATCTGATCTTAGAATATACTTTTATTTATAGTAAAACTAATAAAAAAAAAAATTAAAAAAACTAAGTTTAAAAAAAAGAAATAAAATCTATTTATTTTATAAAAATATTATAATAATAAAACTAAATAATTATTATATAAACTATATTTAGTTTTTATTAGTATATAGTAATTTTATAATTAGCTATTATAATTTTCTTTAAATAATTTATAATACTATTAAATTAATTAATTTACTATATTCTAAATACTATTTTATTAATTTTATTTAATTTAATTTTTCTATTTAATAAACTTTTTAATAATTTAATTTAATTCTATTCTTTTTTATTTATTTAATACTACTAATTAAAATAAACTTTTTATTTAATTTAAAAAAACTATTTTAGTTTAAATTAACTTAAGCTAGTATATTATCTACTAATACTATATATAGTATATTAGATTATAATAATTATTAAATATTAAAAAAATATCTATATAGTTTTTTATAAATATATAAAAGATTATAATCTATATATTTTCTTATTAGCTAGTTATTAAATATAATAATAGCTCTAGTAGATATAACTATTAAATCTATATAAAAGAAAATAGTTTTATTATTATAAAAAAATCTATAATAGATTATAAATTTAAATAATTAATATTTAAAAAGAGATTTTAATAATTATTATTAATAATAATTATTATATATATAAAAATCTAATTATTTATAATAATTAAATTTTAACTATAGAGAATAATAATATTAAAAATATTTATTATTATAATTATAAGAAAAAATAATTAATAATTAATAATAATAAGTTTAAAAAGATATAATAATTAATTATAAATAATAAATATTTCTCTTTAGAATTTATAATTAAATTATATATTTAATAAGCTCTTCTTAGATTTTTTTAAAAAGTTATTATTTTATTTTAATTTATATAAATAAAAAAGTAAAAATAAAATAAAATTAAAAATTAAATATAAATTATTATTATTAGATATAATATATATTTATTTAGTTTTTTATATATTATTATTTAAAAAATATTAAAAAATATATTAAATTAAAACTATTTAATTAAACTTTATAAAGAAAAATAAATTTAAAAAAAAAAAATTAAAAATAGATAAATATTTTATTTAGTAAAATTAGTAAAATAGAAAAATTATAATAAAAATAATAATATATAAAAACTAATTAAATATTTAAAAAAATATTAATATTTAATTTAATAATATTATTAGAAAAAAAAACTAATAAATTTTATTTTAAATAATATTATTAAATAAATTCTCTATTAAGAAATTAAAAATAAAATTAAAAAAGTTAATAATTTATATAATATATAAAGTTTAAATTTAAAATACTAATTTAACTTTCTAAGTTTATATTTATTTTAACTTTTTTTAATAATTTATTTATTTATTTTTTTTTTTTTTTTTTTTATTTTAGTTTTTTTTATATTATTTAGCTCTTTTTTTAATATATTTATAAAGTTATATTTATATTCTTTATAAATAGAAAATTTATATAAATATTATTATTAGTTTTATTTTTATTTTAAACTTTTTATTCTAGATATAATAACTTTTTATTAATTTTTTTAATAAAAAAAATAAAATTAAATAAATTATAAAATTAAAAATATAAAAATATATTAAAAGATATTAGAAAATAAATATTATTATATAAATAATTAATATAAATATAAATTATATAATAATTTAAATTTAAAATAATAAAATAATTATATCTTTCTCTATATAATAAATATAAAAAATAATTTTAAATCTATAAATAAGAATATATTTAAATATTTATATATATTTATATATTAAATTAGATTTTTTTTATTTTAAAATATAATTAAATATTTTATTAATAGAATAATATAATAAAATAAATATAGAACTAAATATATATTAAACTAATATAGAATAAATAATTTAATTATAAAAATAAAACTAATAAAAAAAAATTATATTATAAATAAATATTATATAATATAATTAAGTATATATAAATAAATATTAGATTAATAATAAATCTATATTATTTCTAATAAAAATTTCCTATAGTAGTAAATATATATTATACTTATAGAGATAAATTAATTTATAATCTTAAAAATAACTAACTTTTTTATTTCTAAATATATATAATTTTAAATTAAATTAAAATAAACTCTAATATACTAATACTAAGCTTAATCTAATCTATTAATATTCTAATCTAAATATAACTAAATATAATATATAATATATTAAAACTATAAATTATATATTAAATTATAGTAAATCTATATAAAAGAATAATTATTTTTAAAATATAGTATTTACTTAAACTAATTTTAATTCTCTATAAATATCTATAGTAATTATAATAACTATAAATAGTAAATTATATAATAAAATAATAAACTAAATTAATATAATTACTAGATTTATATAATTAATAATAGCTTTATTACTATAAATAGATTTTTAATTAATTATAAAAATATATTATAAATATAATTAATAAATAGCTATATTAGATTATTTTAAATAATAGTTATTATTATTTTAAGAACTTTATAAGAAATATTAATTAAATTTTAATAGATTAGAATATTTATATTAAATATTATAACTATCTAAGAACTTACTAATTATTTAGTAATTAATTAATAATATAATTAATTAATCTAGATTAAGATAAACTTTAAGTTAGAAAGAAAAGATAATTATTATTATTAGATAATAAACTTCCTCTCTTTAGAAAATATAGTTATAGCTAGATTATTTATATATCTAGCTATATAAATAGCTTCTATTATTAGAGTTTTTAAAATATTAATATCTATATTCAGATTAAAAGTATTTAATTTTAATTTTATATTATAGTATTAAAAATTTAAATATAAACTATTAATTATATTTTTAAAAAAATTATATAATCTAGTTATATATTATTTAATCTTAGAATATATTCTTATTTATAATAAAACTAATAAAAAAATATATATTTATTTTATTAATTAAATATACTCTTTTAAAATAGTTATTAATAAACTAATATTATTTATATATTTATTATTACTAACTCTATAGTATTTATATATTAATAATAACTTATATTATATAATTTATAATAATCTAATTATATTATTTAGAATAATACTCTAATTAGTTTAATTCTAATCTATTCTAAAATCTATATAGTATAAGTTATCTAACTATTATAATCTCTTATTATTAGAAAAAAATAGAGTATACTATATAATATTAGTAATATATACTTTATTTATAATAAGAAAGTTTCTTATTTAGAATTTTCTTCTTAACTTTATAACTAATATTATAGCTATAGTAAGGAAGTTTCTTAGATATAGCTATCCAACCGAGCAGTACTATAAAGCTACTATCTGCTGGATAATAGCTGAATACCTCTAAGTCAGAATCTATACCAGAAAGTAGTAATACTATCTGTATATATAGATAGATAAGAATAGGCTTCAGATTAGTATCTTAGTAGGTAATTACTCTATAGTACTAGAAGTATACTATAGTATTTTATATATTATAATTTTAAAATAAGCGGGGTTAAATCCTTTGCAGATAACTTAGCTATATAAAACAGTCCTGTAAGCAGTAGAGTAGCCTTATTATTATGATCTGCTGAGGGTAAGCCGTCCTTCGCCTCGACTTCCCTAATACAGGCGGCCCTGGTAGCTGGCTGCGTAGGGGGTTTGGGAGATGGATTATAAGGAAGCCATAGTTCTGGCGCCCAGTCTGTCTCTCGGGAAGCAGCTGCATGCCCAGATCAGCCGGCCAGACGTGGTGACGAGGCCCAAAACAACACCAAGGTAAACGAAAGTTATCCATGCGGCAAGGACAGTGGAGAAGACTGCGGAGCCAGTCGCCTGAAAGTACGCCTCGTATAAAGGAACTGCCGAGGCTGATATGGCACTGAAGTCGGTGCAGCTGAAGAGCAGGGCCAGGGCGAAAAACACAATTGTCAACAACCCGATGAGCATGGCAAGCAACATGGCTCGGGTGACATTTTTGCCAGGATGGCTGATTTCCTCGGCAATGTGCGTCACGCTGTCAATAGCACCAAATCTGATTGCAGGGTTGTTAGCACAGCCCGCTTGAAAGTATTTGATCCTTTTCTGCTTACGACCACATGCACTGCCCTACCCCGAGCATGAAGGCAAACCCCGAGTCCCATCCTGCTTGGTTGTCCCAGTTAATGAGGACATCTATGGCAGATTGTTTTGTCTTGCTCATTGCAAGAACTGCAATGGATGTAACAAGCCAGCCTGAAATAGAGGCGGCAAAGAACGTGGACTATGTCTTTGGGACCAGAACTGGAGCGATGGTCACCAGGGCCGTTCCAAGAATTAGGCATGCTGCGTAGACGGCCCAGACACGCCATCGTTGGACTTCATAGTCGGGGTAGCGTATTCCTGCTAACCCAACTATGGACTGCGCTGTGTAAATGGCTGCAGAGGCGGTCGTGAAGAGGTAAAAAGAGGTTGCTCCAGCCAGTCAGAAAAGCAATACCGGCGCGGTTGTGTTGGGGGGCAATGGAAAAGGTGAAGCTAGACTTTCCTTAGCTAAACCAAACTTCTAAGAGGGTTTTCATCCAACTTTGACATACTGATAGGATCCTCCGCTGGATGGAAAGGCAGACGCAAGCTCGGCAAGGCCTGTGGCAATGATGACAGAGGCTACCCATGCGACAATGGTTCCCCAGAATGCGGTTGTCGGGCCCCCTAGGAGGAGAGTAGCCAAAAGAACGCTCACAAAGCCAAGCCAGGAGTTCATGATGCTATAAGTAAAAGCAAGCATGGAAATTAGAGAAAATCTGCGGGGAAGTTGGGCTTTGTGGCCTTGGGCTCGCAGCTGCATGTCATCGAAACTGAGATTGACCTCCACTGGAGGTGAAGAAATGGGGCCCGCCATGCTTGCTTGAAGAGCCTGACGCTGTGAAAGGTATGAAAGAAGCTTGGTTTGATGGAGGGTAGAGCTACAGAAGACAGAAATCAACGGGAATAATCAGACAGGACGGAGATCGGATCGTGGGGTAGTTATATCACCCAATGCTTCGTCAGTGCCGCGAGGCGATCCCTCTTAACCCTACTCCATGGGTCTAGATCTGTCTAGTGATCTATTGATGGTGTCAAGGAACTGCGCTTTGTAACTTGGAGAGATTGGTGGCTGAAGCCGAGATACAGGGTTTCTTTCTACTACGTACTATGTAATAGCAAAAGACTGGCTTGATCCGATCAACGGCGCGTCTTTCACTCAACTGAACCTTTATCCTTCTGGTATTGAACCCACCTCCCCCGATCCTGAGCTAGTCGAACTGGGATATGGAGTGGCCATTGCAGATTCTGTGCTTGGCTGTGCTCAAAGGCCTGCTCCCCTGAGGAGATGGCCCGCACCTAATGCGAGAGACCCAAAGCCTATCCAATTCCAGAGTTCCCTGGTAATCTCCCACGTGAACATGTACGCCAAATCAGTGTGTGCGTCAAGTGCGGAAATCAGGCCCACAGTAAATTCAGCCGACCTAATATCCCTATCTCAGCACAAGAAGCGTCTCAGATGACCCGTGGGGTTACCCCCGCAGATATGGTAGCCGCTTTCGATTTGCCCTGAAGGGCAAATAGGCGAGAATCGCCTGTGGAGTCCTCGTCTACTGTACGGAAGTAGTAGGAGCGATTTTGGTATTCCCGTAAGAGGAATGGACGTGTTTGATCGGGAGGAGACTAGCTAGTAGCATTTGCGTTAAAGGGTTTCCTGTAAGCTGGTTTCCTCTTTGGACGAAATGCGACATGTCTCAAAGGACGCCGTGCCGTCAAAATGGATATTAAGTTTCAGCAAAGGAGAATGTATCTTAGAAGCAGATTTATTAAATAGGTGCCCCGTTCAAATTTCCATTCATAAAGTGTTTTGCAGACCTGTATCATTCTAGCCACCTAACCGTACCACCGCTCTCGCCGCTAGCGAGTAAGTCTGTTGTTGCTTACTTGATTCAAATGAATAACACTGACAGTCTCAGATTTTCTTGACAACTCGACACCATGGGCAAGGTTATTCACGGCGCTTGGAACTCGTTTGACTGGGAGCCCTTCCCAGAGTACAATGGCAAGAAATCGGTTGCGTACCGTTCCGCAGATGGGAAGATTGTTGCTGGGGCCGCACACGAGGAGGGAAAGGCGACATTGGTCTACCCTTGCGACGAGTTCTTCTTTGTCACAGAGGGTTGGATCAAGTGCGATGTCGAGGGACAGGAGCCGTTCACTGCCAACAAGGGGGACGTGGTTTACTTTGAGCGTGGTACCAAGGTGAACTTTGAGTTTAGCCCGGATTTTTACAATGTCGCCATCTTTATTTCAACAGATGGTGAGAAGGTCTCTTTAGTTTAAGACATCCCGCAGTGAAAGAACGCATAAGATATTTGGAAAACAATTGTTGTGTGCCTGAGCCCGTGTTCAAGCTGGATTCTGCGGCTAGAATGGGGGCGAGGTGTTTAGGTCTGAGATGCTGAATAAAATGACCCTCGCCTTGATTCTCTCTCCTCCTCCCACCCGAAATTACCAAATGGGAAGCACAGACGATGAGGCAATACCCCGAGGTCGCTTATCGTGCACAACAGGCAGCCCCAGCCCAGGCTGCGGACCAGCACCCCGATTGCTAGTCTGGTAGCACAAGGTGCATGTGGATTGCCTTCCACTTTGGGCATGTTGGCGAGATTCGTCGCGTTTTGGCTCAAGGTGTGTGTTTTTTGCTCAGCCATCGGATGACAAAAGTCTTGCCTAATTTGTTGCTTAGGCATACAGTCTGAATGAGGTCGGAGGCTATTCCACATAGACGACCCGATCAAGTGGGCATTTGCTTCCAACCGTAGAATCTTTCCCAATTGTATATCTTTGATCTTCAACATCTCGTCTACAAACTCTCGTTCTAAGTATAACACTCCAGAGAGTTATCCGTATTCTCGTCCAAGGTAATTTCACATTCATATCCCAGAAAAGATTTAAAGTTGGGTCCGGTATACCACTGTTCTCATCAACATGCTTCTTTCACCAGCAGTCCTTGTGTCAGCCATTTCGGTGTCCGCCATTATTCTCATTTATAAGTTCCTCATATACCCCGCCTTCATCTCTCCGTTGAGTAAGATTCCCGCCCCTCATTGGTCATGTCATATTGCTCCCTTTTGGCTATGGTGGGCCAAATATCATCACCATGAGAACTTTTTGGTGCAACAGAACCACCTGGCTCGGGGGGAGGCATTGCGTCTGGCCCCGGGGCTTCTCAGTCTCAATGGATATGAACGAGCATTGAAACCCGTGTATCTGGGCGGATTCCCCAAAACTGACTTCTACACGCGAGGTTTTATCATTTACAAGTGGGTTCCATCCTGCACATCTCTCCTTCTGGGACACAGGGGCTAACCGCTAATTTGGGGTCCCGACATAGCACTCCGAACATCTTCACTTTTGAGGATAACTCTGCGCACTCGTCTCGCAAACGCATGGTCTCCAACACCTTCTCAAAGTCATTCGTCCTCAGCTCCGCGACAGCCCACAGTTCGCTTCAAGACGTCCTCTTTGGTCGATTACTGCCTAAGATTCTTCACGCGGCCCAGACTGGGCAGCCCCTTGAGATGCTCGAGTTGAGTTATTCTTACTCGATGGATTCTTTCGTTCAATGGCAATTCGGCAAACGTATTGGCAGCAACCTACTCGAGAATGTCGACGAACGACGTTTATATTTGGATGGCTTCTTCGCCGGGGCCCCTTATGTCTTGTGGCAGTACGAGCCCCCGCTGGTGAACCGATTTCTCAAGTCGATTGGCTTGATCCCCGCAAAGGTGGACGCAGGGTTCCGGGATATTGAGGATTGGAACCTGCAAAAGTGCGACAGTGCATACCAGCTACTCAAATCCGGCGAGAAGCTCAATGACGCCGAGACTCCAGTGGTTTTTGCCCGGGCGGCTGAAGTCATGGGCAATATGAAACCAGATGACAAGCAAGATTCATACCACAACCGCCTCGAGATTGCAAGCGATATGTTTATCCACAACTCGGCCGCACATGAAACGAGCGGCAACACCCTGGCATACATTTATTATGAACTCTCGCGTCATCCCGATGTCCAAGTAAAGCTCAGACAGGAACTTCTCACCCTCCATCCCCAGCTCAAGTTCCCACAACCTCCTGGGGAGCAACTCCAGTTACCCCCCGCCAAGGAGGTCGATAACCTCTCGTATTTGGAGGCCGTTATCATGGAGACTCTCCGTCTTTATCCATCCGTTCCCGGTGGCCAACCACGAAAGGTGCCTAGGCCCTGCAGCCTAGGTGGGTATGATAATATTCCCGCCGGCACGACGGTGCAGTGTTACGCCTATGCGCTTCATCGCACCCCCGAAATCTTTCCCGAACCCGAGATTTGGAACCCCGACCGATGGGTCAACTCTAGTCAGGAGCATCTGAACCAGATGCGTCGTTACTTTTGGGCGTTTGGCAGCGGCGGCAGGATGTGTATTGGAAACAACTTTGCATGGTTTTGTGAGTTCAGACAGCCCTGCATCACTCTCTTGGTCTCGAGTTTCTTCAACTAATTTCGTAATTACAGCAATGAAACATGCTGTTGGAAGTGTCTACACGAATTTCATCTCCTCCATTCACGATCATGGAGACATGACGTTGGTTGACTCCTATCTGGCAGGTCCAAAAGGGCATCGAGTCGAGATTAAATTTAAGCAAGTTCAAGATATGTGACATGGGCTTTTGGCCAAGCAGCGTACCCTTGTGAAGATGGCGAGGGCAAGTCAAGGTTGTGGAGTGCTTCCATGGCATCTGATGAGATGTCTCGGGCGAGAAAGGGTCGTCGTTTTTAGACCGGTTTGGGGGGGGATTCATTCATTCACTCACGTTTTCCAGATTTCTGTAGATGCTTCAATAAAATTGCCAATCATCCAGAAGTAGGGAGAAAGCTGTTTCCATAATCAATTCCACCTCAATCAGGACCCAAAGGAGCCACTGCAGCTGCAGCCATTAAACAACCATTTGGCGCACCATGACTTCCGTCGATAATCTTAAGACTACCTTCTATCCAAGCATGATATTCCAGTTATACTCAACCATCAAACTCAGCCACGAGACACCGATGCCCACATCTCGAAGCGACCAAAGTTCCTCCAAGAGTTGAATTGCTGCTAGGTTCGCCGGGAGGTGGTTGAACGAGTAAAGCGCCCGGAACCGTTTCCTGACTTGGTCTCGCTCTTTTGCGTCATCAGCTGTGAGCTCAGAGCCTGCCGTCAACAGGGGAATGCCATGCACGTTGGTGCATGGATGGTTATCCGGCACGTGCATAAGGCTGGTCACGGTGCGTAACGCGATACTGTGTATACGAGCCTCTAGTTCGTCTTCAGCACTCTCCTCCTCTGGGCTCGCCGGATCTGGGCGCCATTCGCTGCTCCAATGAGTACTGAGCGTTGGTGTTGATGACGATCGACAGCAAACTACGTAAAGATTGAGCAACCCATGGCTGCGGTATGCTTCGGAAATATGTGAGAGGTCTTGTACATCGTTGGGTTTCCATGCCAGGAGTTGCTCCTCGAGGGTTGCTTCAAGCACTGCATCTCTTACACCGGTATCCACCACAGATCGGCAATATCGGCCAACACAAGCATCAAGGTAGGCGATCTCGGCCGAGTAGCCAAGGATGGGGTGAAATCTGCCAGCCAGAACTTGCACTGCGGCCAAAATCTCTGCTGTGTCGAGAGGCCGCTGATACTCGGGCTCAATGAGGAATGAGCAGGCCATGTCCCAGTAGAGATACGAACCAATGGCAAAGTGCATCTGCTCGGTGCGCTCCTCGACCGGAATCGCCAGGATGAAGTCGATAAGCTGACGTCCACCGAGAAAATGTGCCTGGGCCTGGCGGATACCATCCAGATCGATGAATGGCCCAGCCGTCCAGAAGTATGATAGCCCCAAGAGGAAAACAGTCAAGAAACAGGCTGTAATGTCCTTGCTCGCCTGTCCGAGCTCTTGTCGGATAAGGCGCAATGCCAGAGCTCTCTCCTCCAAGCACTTGTTCAATTTGGACATGTCGAAGAAGTCCTGATGCGCAGCGCCGATGCTCTGCACAGCATGAATCATGGCGGGCAGCTGTCCTGAATTCTCGAGGAGAGGAAAGGAGAAAGGATTATTGTCGGGGTCGAGGGCCATGATTTGGCTGGCCTTTTCGAGCCAATACCGCAGTAGCTTTTGGTCCGACGGGCTGCTGGGGCTCGTCATGGCCGTTTCCTCAGCCGCTGGAAGGGATGGTTTGCGCTTTCCAAGCCCAGCTACATGTAACCAGGGCGTCTCGGGTTGCCATAATCTAGACCGCGTCTGGGACTCACACACGTCCCCGCGTCGCTGACATCGGAGGCATACGGGGAAGGTCTCGTCGCATTTTACCCGGCGGCGTCGGCATTCACGGCAGCCGAGGCGGCTTCGATGCTTTGATGGCAAAGTTGGGCTGGTGGTGATGGGCTTCATGCCGACAGGTTCCGTCGCGCATTTCGGGGAGGCTGAGGCTGGGCTCTCAAGGGATGAGACTGGAGCGAATCGCACCCTGAACCTACTTGCCATTGTCGCAAGCTACAATCTCCAATCTTGATCGTGGTTCACGCAGTCGTTGAAGACAAGGTCTGCAAACGGAGAACCACGGCGACGACGGAGAGATCAAATAGTCGCGACCATGAATCAGTGACGTTGGTGATGTAACCAACCCAAAGCACCTTATCTTGAAAGTTGGAATTAAGCATTGGCGGAGATAAGATAAGGGCGGCTTAGTTCTGACCGAAGCTGTATGAGAATGGATAGGCTGCAAGTCGCCTAGTACAAGAAGGCTCTGCCCCAGATCCTCAGCTTCCCCAGGTGCTCCGCGCTACCGAATCTGCTAGATCGGATTGACAAATCTCGAATGGAGTTGAAGATCTGGGGCACCGGCTGTGACTTTACATAAACTGCAGGTGAATACAGCTTCCCTGCGTGATAGCAACAGACCCTGCCCTCCCAGGCGATCTTGGGTTGGGCCTCTTCGGCTCCTCAAATGGGTGTGGTAAGTAACTAGATCACGAGTCTTGAATAGCGTGCCAAGACTTTCCTGATTTGGTCAACTGGCGACCCTCCATGATTAAAATTGATTCTTTGCTAAAGCCCAATGTGGAAGGCCGAAACCACCGTCAGCCAACACCGAGCCGTGCCAGCCTACCCTGTAGCCGCCTCCCATCTGTTCTGAACAGGGGAATAACATACAGCAAACAGTTTCTTCCCTAATTTCAGTCTTTCCGTCGCTTTGATATCTCTTGTTATTCTTTTGTTGCCGATGACCAGATACACTTCACCATACCTTTTTGAGAGATGATGAAATACTACATTACCTTCATGTTCAAGACCAAACGTCTTCCTACGAAGCAGAGGTTGGCTAGCTATCATCTTGCGTCCAGGCCCTTTCCAAATGAGATGTACCTGATACCTATTCTTCTTCCTCAATTCTTTCACTGCCTCCTCCACTTGGCTTTGTGTGATGTTCTGCCCAAGTGCAATGATGTTAGTAATTTCAGCCATTACTTCACGGATGCAGAGCATCTCCACACACGTAGAAATATGCACCCTCTTTGAGGAGCCGAGATATTCTGTCAGCTTGCTCTTTGATTCGGTGTTGGACATAGACTTTGGTTAGCCCTTGGCGAGAAAAAGCCGTGAAAAGTTGAAATCTATCACCCATGGCTTGTTGGAATGTCTTTTTTTCCCCCTCAGCATTGTTCTTGTTTTTGGTTTAGATTGCACAGTTGTTGCGTCTTACCTGGATTTCCGACTGGTACACAAAGTCTTGATTAGACCTCCTACAACCAAAGAAGAGCACCGACGGGCCCACTGAAATGTCCTGTCGTATCATCTGCTCGGCAGTTCTTGGAGAAACCCTCGGAAGGGCGCGAGACCGGTTCCTGGGCCCACCATGATAATCGGTCTTTGGGGATCCTCTGGAAGTTTGAAGTTTGAGTGGCGGATATGGATGGGCAGACGAGTGCTGTTGTATCTTCCTTGAGGCTTTATGAGTTGGTAAGCCGCTGCATCGTCGCCCTGCCGCGAAGGTTCAATCAATTGCTTCTGCTGCCGGCTCGTCAAAGCCAACAAGTAATTGGTCTCCACCCCAAGAAATCTTTGCCCATCAGAACGAGCTACTGGAATTTCCTTGTTTTCCACCATAGCTGCGATGGAAATTACGTTTGGAGAGACGAGCGAGGAGGAAGAGATGGAATAGTAGCGAGGCCTGAGTTTGGCCATTCCCTCGACAAAGATGGAAAAGGGGATCATCCCCCATTGTCGTCCCGCGCTGACAACTTCCAGAAGCTGAGCTATGTTATAGAGCCGACCTTCGGTCTGGGCATGGAAATAGTCCTTGTCATTACCCAACTTTGTCATCTCTGCCTTGAGATTGGCATCTGGTGCAAAGGGAGCAATGCTAGCTACAAGCTGACGAGTGACGGGACCGCAGATCTCAAGGTAGTGGCGCGCAATGGTGTCGAATGTGGTGGGGGATGGGAACGGGAGCTTGCTCGTCAAGGCGCCGGATCCCATGTGAACAACCATGTGCCTCTTGGAGTCCAAACCAAGAATACGAAGAAAACGATCAATTTCTTGGTTAGGATTCGATACCCATACAGCAACGTGATCACCTGTTTGGTAGGATAGTTGGGTCCCCGAAATGTCGATTTCGATGTGCAGACAGTTCCGCTCCGTGTTGGAGAAGAGCTCACGAGACTGGACAGCGGGAGCAATGAAGGGATTCCGGGCGTGGATTTGGCAAAGATCCGGCTGGCCTTGAAGATGGAGCTCATTTGGCTCTCCGCGGTAGACTTCGGGTGAGGCTGCGCTGAGATCGCACTCGACCATTGGAAACATGGGCTTGTACGTGGCTTGATGCTCACTGAACCCCATCTGGCCCTTGCAAGCCGACCACATCAATTCCTTCCAGGAGAGAAATTCTTCATCCATGGTACCGGCGCCATCATCACCTTCGCCCGCGGGACCGAGTCGTATGGCCCCCAAGGCCTGAAGGGCACGATCAGCATCTCGTGCTACTCGATTGAAATATTGGTACGTGTTGTTACCAAGGCCGAACGAGGCATATCGGAGGTTCTTGAGTGGTCTCTTCGTATGCTCTAGTCCAGACAAAGACACGTTTTTGTCGGTAATGAAGTTGAGGAAATCGACTGCATTATCTGTCGGCTCCCCTTCGCCGAAGCTAGCAAGGATGAAGACCAGGAGTCTTTCTCTGGAAACCGAGTTCAATGAGCTGAACTGGTAATCTTCAAGACTGGCCGCCATGCGATGTAGCCCAAATTTTGTCTGGGCTTCATTGACTAGCTGGTACGCGAATCCCTCTGCCGTCCCGGTCTGCGATCCGTAGAGCACTATGCAGTCTAAAGAAGATTGCTCCGAGTGGTTGGCAATATCCTTTCTGCCAATGAAGTCAACTTGCCCGTCGAAACTGTCTACACATTTGCCTAGAGAATTTTTCCTATTGCTGGAGGAAATGTAGTAGGCGCTGGCAATAGTAAGAAGTAAAGACAAGACACCGATTTCCCAAAGTTCTAGGTCAAGAGCATTGAACTCGGAGAAATAAACAGCAGGCCCAACTGGAGCTGCTTGATTAGAGAGATTCATGTCGACGTCAAGGCCATTAGCTGCGGTAGAATGGAAAAGAGATGATAGATGGGTTTGAGGAAAACAAACGATGAGATGAACTTCCTGCTGCGTACACGTAATTTATGTGGTCAAGTGCCCGCCTAGTGGAGACCTTCCTATCTAAGTGATTCTACCGTCTGCTGGCCGTATAACGCAAGACCCTGTTTGGAAACATTGTCATTGCATAATAACATTGGAGCCTTGCATTGGCAAAAGGGGGTGAGATGTGGAACTATCCCTTGCCATTTGCGAAGCGTGAGTTCCATCGTGGTCTTGGAGCTCGCGCACCAGAAAATTTAGTTGTTTGTTTATAAGAGGGGAAAAATTGCCCAATATACAATATATAGCGATCTAATAGGCGAAAAGATTCTGAAAATGAAGAGGTGAGATGCATGAAGGGACTAAACGACTGAAGTGCAATACATTGAATCACTCTCCCGAATCAGCTACAATAGTGCTTTGATATGCTCTTTCTCCGAGTCAAGAATCCTCTTGAAGGCCTTTTGAAGCTGCCCGATCCTTTCTGGTGTGATGTAGTATGGTTCCGGTAGAAGGGAGATGACGTCCACACCCGAAATCATTTGAGCAAGAGCCTTGCCGCACAGAAAAGCATTTACCATTCCATAACCACCATAACCACCTGATATCCATTCAGCAGATGCTTGAGTTCCTGCTTGTCGATCAAGAAGTCCCTCAGTAAGCATGCCTACCAGTGGAACTTTGTCCAAGGAGTTGCAAAGGATACCAGTCCATGAATAGGCGATTCGCCTCTTACCGTCTAGCTCATTACCCCAGTTTTTCACCCCAAATGCCGCTGGGAGAATGCCCCCAAGATGACTGAGAGCAAGCACGTCCTCTTCAGCGTCTGATGGGATCCCAAGCACCTCTGCCTTGCCACTTGTTTCACCACCTCCAATGATGATATGGCCAGTCTTGGGGTTTTGGGTGGCATAGTCCAAAATATCATCAATGAGAAAGCTCCAAGACGAATTGCTTCGCTGAGAGAATCCGCTGGCCGGGTTCTGGACTGTGATCTGACCCCTTCTGGGCACAAGAATGCCGCGCAGACGTGGCAGCAGGTGAGCAGAGTGGCCTTCAGTGCAGTGAACGACATGCTTCGTCCTGATGGCACCACGTGGAGTTGCGACCAAGTATGGATAGTCACTGCTAGAGGTACGAGTGATGGCAAGAGCTGGTGTATTGGCTTCGAGGGAGAATCGATTAGATCGCTGGGACTGTAACTGCGCAAAGACACTCGTCACCATGCGATACGGCCAAGCAGCTCCAGCTGGACCAACGAGGGCCCCCTTTGCATTGGAGATTTTGTATTTCTAGAAATAGACTGTTAGAGGTGGGAGCCCATCTGGGAATCGCACCGAGGGCAAACTCACATCGACCACTTCAGTCTTGCCTACAATCTTCCATTTTCCCCTAAGATCCGGGAAAGCATCCTCAAAGTTCTCAAGCATGTGTCGGATTTCGAGAAGCTGTTTTTCGTTAAACACGGCAGATACCGCGTCAACGCGTCTCACCTCAGAGCATTCCAAGATGTCCAAGCCAGCATCTCTGGCAAAATCATGAATAGCGTCGAAGTGGGCGAGCTCAAATCGCACAATCTGTGCTGCATGCTCGTCGCCATATATGCGACGGTACTTGTCATAGTCTTGGATTGCCGTGCAATTGATACGGCCCCCGTTGCGACCCGTGGCCCCAGAGCAGATTTCCCTAGCATCTAAAACGCTGATGGACGTCGTTGCGGAATGTTGCGTGAGCCACCACGAGACACTGAGGCCCGTGATACCAGACCCAAGAACAACTACATCCCGCTTTTCAGGGAGAACGGAGGATTGTTTGTTCGAAACGTCGCTGTTGGGTGGAGTTTGCCAGTAGGATTGGGTCGGATTCGACACAGGCAACCCGGGATCCTGGAGTAGGCGGCGGCGTAACATCTCGGTCAAAGCAAATATGCAAGCTTCAAGTGGATTTGGACATATGGATTAGAAAGTGTAATGACAGAGCGAAACGACTCGGCAGATCTGTACCACTAGATATATCCCTCTGCAGGAATAGAGGAGCAGGTTGGGGGGCTAACTCGAGGTGCACGGGGTGGGGGCGATTACTTAGCGTTTGGGCTCGAACAGGAAAGAAGATGGACTCCTTTTGTCCCAAATCCATCAAGGAAGCGAGCTAGTGGGGTGTAGAGATACGAGAATGGAAGAGTAGCCAATAGTTCGCTGCTGGTGCAGAAGCCGCTTTTACCCATGCCAACACCATCCTCGGTGGGGAGGGCCATATTTGAGGACGTCTTGAATAATCTTAGAGGTATATTTATTGCTTTTTTTACTTGCTAATCTCATAGATGGCATTAGGAATCCAAAGTGGACATACGTACCAGTCTTTGCCATTGATGATCGCCAGGCTTAGATTTGAATCTCACTTGCCACTATTCTCTACGGAAGCCAGGGAAACCATTTGATGTTTCCTTCTTGACCCAATCTAGATACGCATTGAGGCCTCCAAAAAAGAAATTTGTGTTTGCTTTGCGGCCCTCAATATTCTGAGAGAAAATCCAGCTCTTGGATGTCGTGAATACAGACCCAACAACAAGACTGTCACAGTGGTCCGACCAACCCTGTTCGGCTTCTGGCGTAACCTCCATAATGGTTGGGCCTGGCTTGTCAAATCCGTCTGCATGGCCATCTGTTGAGTTACCATTCGATCTATTACCAATGATGGATCTGTTGCTTTCCGCGTAATTGATGCACTCCATGATAAAACGGACCTCGCTCTCGATCACGATCGGGAAGTTGGCAAAGGCACCCTGTGGGCCAGCAACGATGAACATGTTGGGAAATCCAGAGCAAGCGATTGCGCCGTACGCCTTGAGGCCATTCTTCCAGTGGTCTTGCATGGTCTCTCCATTGCGGCCCTTGACGCAGATTCGCATATAGCTGCCCTCAATCGCCTCGAAGCCCGTGGCAGAGATGAGGACATCCAGCTCATGAACAGTGCCATCTGACAACTTGATCCCTGCGGGTATAATCTCACTGATTGGGTTATCTCGAAGAGCAACAATATCGACATTGTCCCGGTTAAAGATTTGATAGTAACCAGAATCGCACAGCGGGCGTCTTGCGTACAGCTCCGTCGGCTTTAATGCAGCAGCCTTGCGACGGTCTTTGATAATCTCATCTATCTTGCTTTTGATGAACTCGCACGCCTCCTTGTTGGCATCAATATCAGTCGTCAGGTCGCCGAAAGCGCTGAACATGAAGCGGAAGCCATTGCCCTGGTCCCAGACCTTTTGGAATGCATCACGTCTCTCCGCGGGTGTGGCCTCCATTGTCTTTCTGGTTGATTCCGGGACACCAAAGCCAACGTTTGAGTTGAACACGTGCTTGTAAATCTCGTCGTATCTGGCGTTGATGTCGGCGCGATACTCGGCAGTGACAGGACCTTGTCCACTTGGGACGGAATATTGGGGGCTCCGCTGAAATGACACGAGCTTGCCAGCCACAGGCGCCAGGGCAGTAAGAACTTGCACTCCGGTTGAGCCGTTGCCAATGACGCCAATTCGCTTTCCCTCTAGGCTAACAGAGTCGTCCCAGTTTGATGTATGTATGAGCTTGCCCTTGAAGGTCTCCAACCCCTTGATGTCGGGGTACTTGGCTTTAGACAACAGGCCAAGCGAGTTGATCAGATAGCGGGCAAGAATAATCTCCCCCGTGGAGCATGTGATACGCCATCGCTGAGAATCTTCTTCCCAGGTGGCAGCCTTCATTTCGCAGTTGAACTGCATGTACTTTCTGAGGTCATGTCTGGCCACCACGTGTTGAAGATACTTGAGAATGTCTGGCTGATAGACATAGTGGTGTGTCCAAGGGTAGGTCTGCAAGTCCTCCTTGTCCCAAGAGTAGCGGTAAAGGTAGCTCTCAGTGTCGCTCATCGCGCCAGGATACCTGTTCCAATACCAGGTGCCGCCAACGTCGGCCGCCATCTCTATGCATTTGACAGTCAACCCCATCTTGGACAACAGGTACGTTGAGTAGATGCCCCCAAAACCTGCGCCCACCACGAGGGCATCAACATTTGTTCCGGCGGTCATTTTGAGGTGGAGCAGGCACGTAAGGTGCAAGGTGTGACTTGAATGTTGACAGGTGTAGAAGATAGAAAGAATACTTTGGTAGAATGGGTGAGGTTTGGTTACGCATAGAAGTGAACTCGAGTCGAAAGATGGACAAAGGTATTATGGGCATGAAGAGAAGCCTCCTCATCTTCAGCCCTTCGCTTAGCAATTCCCGCAATATAAAACCGAAGGAGGAAGTCTCTTTACAGTGGATTATGGTGTCAGGCAATACCCAGACCTTGAGGGGCTTATCCTCAGATGTGGCACACACGGCGGGAGGGGCTACGATACCCTCGTTTGATGGATAATTTTGGCAATTGATTGTATTTGGAGACACCAGACTACTGTAGGTTTTGGGTTACTTGTAGTCTTTTAAAGCTAGTGCGATTAGTCCGGTCGATTTCTTGCAGACGCGGGGAAGCCTCCCCCTCGCATTTTATTCCAATGTGGAAATGTCTGGATAAGACACTTGCCTCATTTGACCCGCAAGTGATGTCGTCTGCGCACTAACAGTCATCCAACAGCAATGAATTTGCAATCCACCATCCCGTGATCTTGCTGTGATACTCGGGCCTTGATGGACTTGATGAATTTGGTTGTTTAGCCATAGGCTCTCCAAGCTGCCCCTCGCTACTCGGAATGGCGACGAAAAGGGAAACAAAGGTGCCGCCCACTGTGCACTTTGCTGCTGATCCCCAGTCTGTTTGAATGCTACAAAAACGGGAGAGATGCAAGACAACTTTAGGCTGACAAACTGCTCTCATAGTACTCCCTGCCACGTTGGTCCAACCTCAGTCGATAAACCATTGTCAACATATCCAGCCGCAGTCATGTCCTCCGCCAAAACCACCATCACCGCTCCAAACGGACGCCAAATCACCATCAACACCGGCCTGTTCATCAGCAACGAATGGGTCGCACCTGTCAAAGAACAGGAGATAACCAGCATCAACCCAGCGTGACCAAGAATGACCAATCGGCATCTTGAACATGCTTTAGAAGCTAATACTTGTTGTGCGCTACTGCATGCCAGAACTGAGGAAGCCATTGTTTCCGTGTCTGCTGCTGGCCCTGAAGATGTAGACAAGGCCGTCAGCGCTGCCCGGGCTGCTTTTGAGGGTAGTTGGGCCGACGTGGTGGGCACTGAGAGAGGTCGACTCCTGATGAAGCTGGCAGACATTGTCGAGGCTGAGATGGAGCCGTTGGCCACCCTTGTCACCATGGAAAACGGCAAGCCATACAGCCAGGCTACCGGCGATGTTGAGGAGATGTGCGGCGTTTTCAGATACTATGCCGGTTGGGCCGACAAAACATATGGCCAAACAATCGATTAGACTGGCCGGCAGAAGTTCACGTACACCCTTAGAGAGCCTATTGGTGTGTGCGGTCAGATCATCCCGTGAGTCCACATCCACATCACATTTCCCCTGGGAAGCATATTTGAGACTGACTGGAGGTACTGTGTTTGAATTAGGTGGAACTATCCTCTTGGTATGGCAGGATGGAAACTGGATCCCTGTCTCGCATGCGGAAACACTACGGTTCTCAAGCCAGCAGAACAGACGCCGCTCTCGATTCTGTATTTTGCCGACTTGGTTGTCAAGGCTGGCTTCCCTCCTGGAGCCATCAATATCCTCAACGGGTACGAACGTGGAACCGGCTCAGCTATTGTTGACCACCCTGGAATCGACAAGATATCCTTTACCGGCAGCACGGCGACTGGTCGTCAAATTATGAAATCTGCTGCTGTGAATCTGAAGAACATCACTCTTGAGACGGGAGGGAAATCTCCCATCATCATTTTTGACGATGCAGACATCAAGCACGCCATCAAGTGGACACATTACGGCATCATGGGCAACATGGGCCAGATTTGCACCGCAAACATCCCGCATTTTCATCCACGAGAGGATTTACGACGACTTTATGAAGCTTTTCTTGGCTGTATTGAAAAGATATCCATTGTCGGCGATCCTTTTCATGAGAAGACTTGGCATGGCCCACAAGTTTCAAAGGCTTAATATGAGAGGGGAGGATCTGGTCCTATGCGGAGTCGGCGAGGCAGGAGGGTGCAAGAGTCTTGCTTGGTGGGAAGGCTAGCTCCAACAAGCCCAACGGCAGGGGATACTTTATTGAGCCCACAGTGGTTGGTGATGTCAAGTCTTCTATGAAGGTATATAAGGAGGAAATCTTTGGTCCCTTCGCAGCCGTGGTCAAATTTTCATCGGAACAAGAGGTCATCAAAGCAGCCAATGATACCGAGTATGGTCTGGCGGCTGCTCTGTTCACCACAGATGTTACAAGGGCAGTCCGCATCTCTCAGCGTCTTCACGCTGGCAATGTTTGGATCAACTCGAATAATAACAGTGACTTTCAGGTTCCATTCGGAGGAATGAAGCAGTCTGGCATTGGCAGGGAGCTGGGCGAGGCTGGCCTAGAAGCGTACTCGACTCTTAAAGCGGTCCATTTGAATTTGGTACTCGCGAACCCTGATATTTAGGTGTAGTGCAGCAAAAGATGAACCCTTTTCTTGGCAGAATCAAAGTCAGAATTGTTACAGTTCCCGTTTCGAGAAGCGAAATTTATAGTCGTATCTCTTGTAGTCATAAGAGGTTAGCGAGTAGGATCTGGTTCATAAGACTGATAATATCAAGGGGAAGCACGGTATAAACCATGTTGTAGTCAACTTGCGGGAAGAGGACTGCCTTGATTACCAGCGTATACCAGGCTGGAAAAAAGGTCAGAACAAGCCGTCATAAAGGTAGCATATGGCTGCATCACATTCTATTCCAACTACTTAGTTTAGAGTATTCAACTGGGTAAGCTTAGCTTGGCCGAATGAATCACTCCAGGGCTATATGTAACACGAATGTTCTAGAGGCGCTCAATCGCTCCTCCACGTAAATATTGTGGCAAGTCAATCCCTTCGACGTCGACATATCCGTACACCTCCATCTTATCATCCTTGCCAAGCCTTTCCTCCCAAATCTTCATACTTCTTTCAAAGGCTGCAATGACATGATCCTTGGTCAGATCCATCGGTTCTCTTCCTTGACCCATCTGGCATATCTGAGTGCCCGCGACTGTTTCACTCAGTCCATAGTCCTGCTCACTAAACTTTTGCCTGATGCAGCCGGTTTTGACTCGACCCTGGATAATGTCCCGGGCCAAAGAAGGCTCAGCACAGAATGGCCTCCCCAGCCCGATGCCGTCCACAGTGTCCAAGGCCTTCACCATGGCACTCACTGTGCGCAAACCCCCCGGTTACGAAGACTTTGGTCCTTGACAGCTGGGGTACAATTGACTCAGCAAACTCTAGGAAAATGCTTCCCTCTTCTTGGTCGATTCTCGCTTGTGCTCTCAAAGGCCATATCCTCATATGTGCCCCCCGAAAGCTCGATGAAATCGAAGTTGCACTTTCTTTCGAGGAGTTGGCACAGCTTTGCGCACTCTTCTGGGCTGAATCCCTTGGTATCAAACTCGACAGAATTCAGCTTGATTCCCAACACAAACCCCGAGGATATCAGGACTTGAGCGCGAATCGAATCGACCAGTTCAACAATGATACGGGCTCGATTTTCCCACGAGCCGCCGTATTCGTCGGTCCGGTTATTCGTGCGTTGAGAAAGGAACTAGGACAGCAGGTATCCATGGGCACTGTGGAGTTATACGCCATCGAAGCCTACTTTATACAGGTAGTGAGCCGCGTGTGTGAAATTAGAAAAGATTTACCGAATCTCAGAGTGCGTCGCTGCATGAGGTTTGGCAAATTTCATGCCCCAAACCTCCTTGTCGATACCGACTGTCGATGCAGAGACTGGTTCTTTCTGAAAGCAGTCTTGCCCTTGGCGACCCGGGTGCGATATTTGGCCAATCATCAAGCTCCCATCATGGTTTCCAGCCTTTGTGAGTTCCTGGAAAGCTTGGAAGTGAGGCCCAGATAGTGGTGCACCACCGGGCACTATCAAATTTCCTGGCCCTTCAATATTGATGGGGTCAACCATGATGTTCCCAGTCAGAATCATTCCAATGCCACCACCGCCGAACCTCCAATAAGCATTGATGATTTCTGGCGTCGGAATGCCTCTTTGAGCCAAGTCCTTGGTATGCCAGGTGGACAGGCGCTCCGTCATTGCGGCCTTGAGGAACCGGTTAGGTGCAGAACGCGTTGAGAAATCAAAGTGGAGAGCTTTCCCAAGCGGAGAGACATCTTCCACAGCAGGCCCTGGGTATCGAGAGTCTTCCATCATGGGGGGATAAGATAAACACGGCAAAAAATTGGAAGGGTAGGGAGGCAAGACGGCTCAGGTAGTGACTAGGAGCTGAAGGGATTGGTGATCCAAGTTACCATTGGGAGAGAAGCCGATGCTGGAGTATTTGTTTTTAATTGCAATGCTGCTGGTCATAGGTCTCCTGAAACGCCGATTGTACCTCATGCTTTTGGCTGACCAAGTTTAACATTATTAATATCATAAATCACCGTCACAGTCCATTCTTATCAAACTCCTTCTGCTTTCGTCCAAAATGCGACACTCAGGGAAGACTTGTGGGGCCGAGACTAGGTCGTCCCACACAGTATATACGGGATATGTGCACACCGAGTCAAGACTCTCCACCACCACTATTTGAGAGACTTGGAATACACAGCAACTATCAATATACCATACGTATGCTGGAGGCATGTCTAGTAATTGCTACGGACTCGCATACAGATAGACCAGTTTGAGGAAAAAGGAACGTTCATCGCCAAAGAAGAGTACAGCAAAGAATATAGGGTAGGCTTGTCCAGTTGATGCACAAGAGAAGAGACGCTGAGGGAGAAAAAGCAACAGCAATACTTGGTCACACGAATCTACTTATAGATGAATTTATTGTGTTGTACCAAGAAAAGCCCCCAAGCGTCTGGTTGCATGTTATTAAGGCAGGCTTACACTAGGGTAACTTTGTTTCCGTCAGTGGAAATGAAAATAGCAACATTCTTGAAATCATTGCCAAACTCCATGTTCACTGTTGTGCCGCGTGGCAGATAGACAATATGCCCAGTACTAGCAGCAAAGGTTTCACCTCCAACAATTTCACACTTGATCCAGCCCTGGGTGACATAGAAGAACTCGTCGCATGGCCATGTCAGGGTGGCCTTGCCGGACTCCCGCGCTGCACCAGCCGCAATCTTCCCGTCGGCAGAGCGAAATGCGATGGACTTGCTCCCGCCGTATTCGGGAAAGGGAGTCCAGGGGAACGACTCCCAATGACCGCGAACGACTTTGTCTGCCATGATGATGTAATTCCGTTCCGCAATATCAGTAAGCACGAAGCAACACGTGAACCAGTGATTGGAACACGTCGATGGTTTCGATGATTATACTCCTCTGTGATCCAAATGCAGGACTGGGAAGAAGGTGTTGGGCCAACATACCGGAATGAATTTCCTGCTCGAGAAATTTTCACTTGGGACCACGTTGGAAGGGGAGTAGATGGTTCTAGAGATTCGAGTTCTCACTTCTTCCTGCCGGTGATGTGACTATATACTGGATAAATAAGCATGGTACACTCTCAGAGATTCCTGGTTGGTTGGTCGCGAAATGCTTGAATGAGGGAATGCAGGCGGGGCTCCAAAAAGGTCCCATTATCGTTGCCACCTCCGCCTTTTGAATCTGTAGGTACCACCTGCAGACGGGGTTCAACATCGCGTTGCATAGGTAGAAATACGTAACAGCACCGCAACGTCAACTACACTTCGCGGAATCGCCCAAATAGGCAATTGCAGTGATCTTCCTAGTCAGCCTCGGCGGCCACTGATAACAGAGACTCAAGCTATCGGCGTGCTGCATTGCTGCTCAGTAAGCTCCTGGTCCATCTCCAAGTGTAACGGGGTAAATCGGTGGGGAGTCGACTGTCAGCTCGCGGATTCGCTGTGACAGGCAACTTGAGTTACCTTGACGAACATGACAAATCCTAAAGTTGTGGATCGTGTCCCTCACAAATGGCCAGTGAACCTTACATATCGTAGTGCTCGATGTTTAAAATGGAGTGAACCAGTGTTGATTGAGCAGAACAATCATCAATTAGAAACTTTTCAAATCCGTACAATGACTTCTTCTGTTGGCAAACCGTCTGCCATTGCGGTCGCCGGATCAGGTGATATCGCTCGATACCTTGCCGAGGAATTTGTTCGGCACGGCCAGTATGAATTTCACCTCATCTCGCGCAAGGAGCCGTCATGGGCATCTCAGCCCAAAATCCAGCACCACGCCGTCCGAGACTTCAACAAGGACAAACTTGCCGAAATCTTCAACGAGCACGGCATAAAGGCCATCATATCGACCCTCTCAACCGATGACGCCTCCGTCTTTATCCCCCTCCACGAGGCAATCCTGGATGCATGCCGAATCTCGGCCACCTGCAAGCGCCTTATCCCTAGTGACTTTGTCGGCGATGTTGAGAAGTGGCCTCACCTCCCACGAAGCTACAGAAACACCCGCTTCACGTTCCGAAAGATTCTCGAGGACCAGACCGAGGTTGAGTGGACATCTGTCAATCAGGGGTGGTTGATGGACTACTTTGTCCACTTCCCCCAGGGCGCAAAAACCTACATCAAGCCATTTGCATCCTGGCCGTTGAGTCTTAAAGACGCCACATGCAGACTCCCTGGGAATGGTGATGACAAACTCACTTGGACAGCCGCGCGCGATATCGCAAAAGCTGTTGTGGCACTCATGGCGCAACCCAAGTGGGATAGGTACACTTATGTCTACGGCGAAGTTGGGACATGGCGTGAAGTGTTGCCTAAGGTTGAAAAGGCGCTCGGCATCAAAATTGAGGTAAGCCAATTTGCGTGCCCTCCGCCCTTTCTCCCGCTAACGGTGGCAGCGGCTCCCCTTTCCGGTTGAGAAGATTGTGAAGGCAGTGGAGGATTTCAGTGACCCCGAGAAACAGTATATGGCAAGCATTGATGAGTGGACTGTCCGCGGTGCCGTCTTGGTTCCTCTGGACGTCGCGAGAAAGCAGCGCGAGAACCTTTTCAGCAGTATCAAGTTCCGAACCATCGAGGAGTTGCTGCATGAGGCGCAGACCGTGGACATTGTCTAAGGGCAAACACCTAGTATACCAGTAACGTACAACCGTCGTTGGAAGGTTGCAGATCTTAGGTGTGTTGCAATTAACGACTTGATACTTATCAATGTCTCATCCTGAGGATCGCCTGCAGGGTTCCCAGTTTGGCGGACCAAAAAATGGACCTAGATACCTTGGTTGGCAGATGCTTTGGTGTTCATCCTTATCCATGTTATGGAGATTCTAGCTATGTGACTTTACAAAGGAAGTTCCCCGTGTTATCTTTGGACTAAACGTATAAATCATGGAATCGCAGATAGAACGTTGTTCATTGATGTTAGCTAGGGAAATGATATCATGTCCGAGGTGTCTGCCCACGTCCATATCTAAGGTAGGGTGTGTTTCATCCCGCTGCTCGCGGGACATTCCCCAGGGTGCGACACTAAAGGAAGAGCACCTGGCTCAAAAGTCGTAGATTGGTAAACGAGGGGACAAGGGGGCATAGTTGATCTTGTGGGGCTCTCTCCAAATCTCGTGGTGGAATCTGGCATGAGGGAGACTCTCCACCCTTGGGCAGTAGTGTACAGCTTCGGTCTTCACTTGAAAGGGAAAGTGGGCACAATATCTGTGGGGTTGGGCATCTTGGCCGCCTCTCCTCTTTCCCTTATCGTACATTTCCCGAGATGCAGGAAGAGAACGATTAACCAGGGAGAGCTGATCCATAGAAAATTAGTGAGCTTGCCCATCTCAAATCGTCTACATAATTTCTTCTTCATCACCTTTCAAGAGTCTGCTCTGCGTTTAGCTACGCGACATCTTTATTAGATCAAATTGTTTGTGCAAGTGCTGACTGCCAGAAGGGAGGCAACAACTGTAGAAATGGCAACAGCACCTACATCTTCTACTCTCACGGCATCCAACGGTGTTCAGTACCTTCAGCCATTGGGATTATTCATTGACAATGACTTCGTTCCCTCTAAGTCTGGCGAGCGTGTGGCAACATTTAGCCCTCAGTACGTCCACCCATCGAGACACATATCCGACAATTACTGACTTCCATGATAAAGTGATGAGACTAAAATTGCCGAGGTCCATGCCGCAGGTCCTGAAGATGTGGACATCACAGTAAAGGCAGCCAGAGCGGCCTTCAATGGTCCATGGAGCAGAGTATCGGCGGCTGCTCGAGGCACCCTCCTGTTCAAGTTGGCAAGTTTGCTGGAGGATCATAGGAGAGAGTTGGCAACGATTGAGACGTGGGATAATGGTGAGTTGAGAATTAATCTTGTCCATGCCTAGCACACCGACATTGATATCAGTGCCGCCCTTTCTTTTTTTTCTTTCGCAAATCGGGTGTGTAGGATGTGCTGACACGGCAACTGTTCTATTTTTCAGAATACAGGAAAAGCAATTTCGGATTCTCTCGAGTGTGTCGATGACAGTGTGTCGGTTGTGCGTTACTTTGCAGGGCATGCAGACAAGTCCAGCGGTCAAAGTAGGTCAAAGTACCTGGAGGTACAGTCCCAGAAACGGTCCATTGACGAGCCGCCACAGCATTCGAAACCTTGCCGAATCAGCACATCTTCACGATCCGTGAGCCACTCGGTGTGTGCGGTCAGATTGTGCCATGGAACTATCCATTGCTCATGACCATACACAAGCTTGCTCCCGCCCTTGCTGCGGGAAATTGCGTCGTGTTGAAGGCGGCTGAGCAAACTCCTCTGTCGGCACTCTATCTCGCAGGATTGATCAAACAGGCTGGGTTTCCCCCTGGTGTTGTTAATATCCTCAATGGCTTTGGCAGGACATGCGGAGCCGCCATCGCCCGCCATCTTGACGTGGACAAGGTCGGGTTTACCGGCTCAACTGAGACGGGAAAGGTGCTCACGCAATTGCTTCGTCCACTCTGAAACCTATCGAGCTAGAGACTGGTAAGTGGGCATGGAGTCAACGTCTGGAAAGCGGCCAGGAAAATCGGATAATCTTGTTGACATTTTGGACAGGCGGCAAATCGCCCCTCGTCATCTTTCCTGATGCCGACTTGAAGAAGGCAGTTTACTGGGGACATATTGGCATCATGGCGAGTTCTGGCCAGAATTGCACTGCCAACAGCCGCATCCTGGTCCATGAAGCAGTCTACGACGAGTTCATCAAGCTCTTCTTGGCCCAGATCGGCTCCGCCAAGCTTGGAAACCCATTTGATGAAGACACCTTCACGGGCCCGGTGGTTGACGCGGTCCAGAGAGATCGCATCGTGGGGTATATCAAAATCGGCCAGGAAGAAGGCGCCACGCTACTCACAGGAGGGAGGATATGGCCAGACCGACCCATGGGCAAAGGTCACTATATTGAGCCCACCGTCTTCACCGATGTGACTGATGATATGCGGATCTGCCGAGAAGAAATTTTTGGCCCTGTTGCGGTGGTGATGAAATTCAGCTCCGAGTCTGAAGCTATCCGCCGAGCGAATGACTCCATATATGGACTGGGGACAGCAGTGTTCACAAAGGATGTCTCGCGTCTGATTAGAGTATCCAAGGCTCTTCAGAGTGGCAGTAAGTCTTCCCAAACTAACCGCTATGCCTGTGATTGTCTTGCGCGATAAACTAACCAGCAAATCCCTTTAGCGGTTTGGGCAAATAACAGCAATTGTACAATGGATCCTAGGGTAGTCTTCGGAGGCATGAAGCAGTCGGGCATTGGAAAGGAGCTGGGCCAAGCGGGTTTCGAGGCCTATACAAACGTCAGAGCCGTCTACTTGGAGATCGACGAGAATGATGACGAGGATCGGGAAAGCAACAGCAAGACGTCTAGAGAATTTCAATTTAAGCGACTCTCTTGGCCATGGCTATCTTTGATGAATGCTTGTTAACCCGCTTTCACACATTGAATTATCGCATGAACCATCAATCATCATTCGCATTGTCAAACAGGGAGTATTGTCACTAAAAAGAGGTCTAAGACAAGTGACGTGTTGCAAAATTGAGTACAACATCGTATTAAATTAAATGCAGCATGGGAAAGCGCTGACGACAGTGATACTGCTCAGAGGAATGCTCCCTGACCGATTACAACCTAGCTACGGTAGGAATATCCAGTAAAAACTCATCGACAAGATTAACCACCGCGCGAGCGAGTCCAAAGCTGTAAACGTAGCCACCAGCATTCTGTCCATAAGCGTGGATTACTCGCTGGTCGCCCAAAAGCTCCTTCTCACACCTCACTCCAGCAATGTCTTTGTCGAGGGAGGGGAAGACGCCGACATGATCGTAAAGGATATCCCAGTCTTTGGGATTCGGCGAAGGGAACACATCGGGCTGGTTAAGATGGGCATTGCGGCAAATCTGAAATACAAGGTTAGCATAAGCCACAATGAGGTTGAGATGGAGAAGCCAGACCGTTGCTCGATGGTCATCATTGATCGAAACATCTCTCGATGCTTCGGTCAGGACACCCCCGCAGTAGACGGTCCCATCGAGACGAGAGAAGGCGGTGGAGTAGTATCCATTGGGGCCTCGTCGAATATAGAGGCGGTCATAAGTCGGAGGAGCCTTTGCAACGACGCACTGCAGTCGCCAGGATGTCAAGTTCTTTTCTTGCACGTCTTTGAGAGTCTCGGAGCCAAAACCAGACGCGTTGATGAGGATGTCGTGCCCCAGACCTTTGAGGTCGGCAAGCGCAAACACCTTGGTGCGGAGGAACTTGACGCCACGGGCTTGCAGCCGCTCGTAGAGCCAAAGAAGGAATTTCTGAGGAGTCAGAACGACCGTCTTGTACTTCATACCATAGATTGCGCCCTTTGGGAGCTCATCGGGCGTCATCCACCGAAAGCCGGGAACTTTGTGAGCATACCAGACATCCGATTTGGTGCCACGGTCCATGATCTCAGTCATCTCGATCTGGCGGACACTGGACTCTGGGTTCGTCTCGGCCAGCTTCCAGAGACCGGCAAATCCTTCCAGCTGCATCTTTTGCTCGTGGGGCTTCGACTGGTGGACACCAACCCAGATGGCGCCAGCCCAAGGGCTCGCCCACTCCTTGGTATCATAGTCGCCAGGTAGAAGATCGGCTACGATGGTGATGTCGTGATCTCGTGGGAGCTTCGCCGCAGCCATCATGCCGGTGACACTGTTTGTATGGTCAGAGGCCTACATCCAAAAGGCCAACCCAATGGGGTTTGCTTACCCAGCACCCAGAATTGTCACTTTGACCATGGTGATTTATTGGGATTGCAAACACGGCTTTGAGAATCTGTTAGGTTGTCTGCATACTCAGAAAGCTTGGGACCCTTGTTGTGGTGCAGGACACTGTATCGACTTATAATTGATGCCACCTGCCAACTGCGGGGCAGAAAGCCTTGCTTGTTCGGGCACTTTTGGACAAACATGCCTAGGGAGAGGTTGGCAAACCCTGCGTGAGACCAATGAAGGGCCTGTCTCTGTCGACTCAACATCTTACACGGATTCTCGGCCTCGCGCCGTGTCCGAAGAAGGCAAGTGGCTTGGACCCGGAAGGCAAAAGCCCCACGTTTTCGAAGGTCCCGATCTCACACATGACCTCCTCTTGCGGATTGCCTTCCTGCTGAGTGGACACCAGTCCCATATCTCATTCTCTCCTACATCATCCCCGTCAACTCAACCCTTCCCGAACTGGCGACAAGCCGATCTTACTGTGAAACAATCACTCCATTATCTGCTGAGATTGCCCAGGGTCGTAAAGAGAGGGCAAGCACAGTCTTTGGATGTCGTTCAAGGAGAATAGAAGACATTCATTTCTTATGTTGCCTGATTCCCTTAAATCTAATTCTACTTGCTTGCTCCTATTTGGCCTTCTTGGTGAACTTCCGTAGCTGGTCACTGCGATTAATCATCCACAGGTCATCGCGTTTATGAAAGCCATATGGCAGTTGTTCCTCTCCACGATTTATGCTGGGCGAGACATTCAATCATTGCGAGATTCCTCACAAAGTTCAACGTTGCTATTCATCGTTCCATTTCAGGCAGATCAATCTTCCCAAAACCTGAGTCGATTCAAATTCGAGGCTGAGGTTGATATAAATGGGATTGAGAAGAAATCCATCACGAGAAACAAAGACACCAACCATTTGCAAGACTCAACTCCATCCAAGACATGACCACTCCACAATCCCGCAAATTCCAGAGTTCTTGCAACAGGTCAATCGACTGCAAGTGCACCAGTACGCGGTCAGTCGAGTAAAGGGCCTTGAACTGTACAATGACGTCCTCTCGCAGCGCCGAGTCGTCTGATGTGAGCTCTGCGGCGGCACTCAGCAACGGCATCGATTGAAAGTTTGCACAGGGCTCATTCAGAGGTATTTCCAACACCATCCGTATAATCTCCAAAGCGTACGATCTAATAACGTTTTCTGTCCCGACTATGAGCCCTTCCGATCCGTCTTGGTCGCATGGGTCAATAATCAGCCGCATGGGATCTGGGAGACGGCGACAGGTTTGATACAGCATCAATAAACCGTGATTACGGTAGGCTAGGCTTAAGTCATGAAGGCATTTATCATCATCGCGGGGGCACCATTGAACGAGTTGTTCTTCCATGGTCTCCTCGAATTCCGGGTCTTGGGGCTGGTGCTCGAGAATACGACGGCAATATCTTCCAACGTCGGCCACCTGGGCATATAAAGTGGAGGAAAAGCCTATTATTGGATGGAATAAGTCCCCATCAAGCTGGACGCTTTGGAGAATATCAGATGTGCTCAGATGAGAGTTGTTTTCCGGGTCGTCGAGGAAGGAGCAGGTCATGTCCCAGTACAGATACCATCCCAGGAGGAACTGCGTGAGGGACTCTTCGCGTATATCCTTTCGAGATAGCATCGCCTTGATCAAGGCTCGAGCGCCATCCAAGTGCTCTTTGCCCCAGGAGTCAGACTGTATCCACGGTGAGGAAGTTCCCAGAAGAAAGATGGTGAGCATTGACGATACTGGGATAGACGTCGCATCGCGAAGTTCTTCCCGGACCAGTTTCAGCGCACGCCCGCGCTCTTCAAGACACGTTTGCAACCCAGCATTATTAAAGAATTTTTCGTGGCCAGCACTGACGCTTTGAATAGCGTGAAGGAGAGAAGGGCTTGTGGTCAGATGTTGCAAGACGGGAAGGGAGAGTGGGTTGTTGTTCCGATCAATGGACCACAACTGGCTTGTCTGCTCAACCCAGTGCTGCACCAACCGCTTGTCCAATGCGCTATCTCTCGGCCAAGAGTCCAGGACAATCATGTCAGAAAGCCAGGGCATCTCGGTGTGCCATTTTGCGGGCTTGTAGCTTGCGAGGCAGACGGAACCGCGGCGTTGGCACCGGAGGCAGACAGGGAAGGTTTCGTCGCACTTGACACGCCGGAGACGGCACTCCTTGCAGCCGAAGCGGCTCTTTGTATGGTGTGGTTTGGGTGTGATTGATTTTGAGGAAATAGGGCAATTGGATTTTGGCGGCGAGGTTGAGGCTGGTGAATTGTGGCACATGAATGTAGAGCACTGAGAATCGAGCTCCGCCTGGTATTTGCTGCCCTTCGCAAAGCGCACCCGGTACTGTCCCATTGTGGATGCTTTGCCGGGATAACCGGATTGAGAAGAAGATTCCGCTGTGGGATTGGAGGGATGGCTTGGGATTGTGCTTGGGCAGGGAGTGCTGATCTCCTATATGAGTGAAGAAGATGTTGGTGAGTTGCGTGTGGTGCAGGCGAGGAACTTGGAAGGAGAGGGGTTGACCTTCAGCTGATTGTCCACATGCCATGGAGGCCTGTGATAGATAACCGAGCTCCACAGCCGATCAAAGGCATGAATCGTGTTAACTCTGTGGAGGTGGCCCACCCCCACAAACAAGCCACTTCGGGTGCGCCCCAAAGGGCCAAAATGACTCAGTCCTTTCTTTGGTGGTTTGGAGCAAACACTGAGTTGCCATTAGAAAGACAAAGAGCTGCCGAGACCGGCCATTAGACTCAGCGACGGCTTTCTCCGTAGACCGAAATACATACCCTACCGAGCGGAGAGTGTTTTCTTCAATTTGTTTCTTCCCCACCCCCCCCCCTCCCGGGCCAAGAAAATAAATCCCAACTAATATCGTTAGCCCAGAACTGTGATCGGGCTTGCCCCGGTGCCACTTTCAATTGTCTAGATATCCCGGAGCTTATCAGTCAGTCGAGGTTTGATAAAGAAACATGGAAGATAAGGGCCAGCAATAAATCTCACTTATCAAATGTCACTAGCTCGTTTGTTGTAACCATCCTTTATCGGAGTCCTTGCTCGCGCCAGGGGTCAAAGGAATGAGCCATCCAGCATACAGTATTCAATCACCCCCTCGTTTATGAGCCAGGGTAGGAAACCAGCCCCTTTTAAGTGGATACCTCTCTCTCCAGGTCCCTTTGCACAAGTCTTGGCTCGTTGCCTTTCTCACTCTTCCCGATTTGGTTTCTCCTCGACGACTTCGTCGCGGCCTTGGTTATCACTTCGAAGGCATCAAATGGAAAGACATCACTGAATGCTAGCTGGCCTCCATGCTGTTGTTTCCATGGCAACATTGTGGATCTCCACTCTTGAAAGGTGCTTATAGGGTAGGCTAAATCCCCTTTTACCCTATACTCCCCGAGTAGCCAGCATCAATCCCCATCCGACAATGCCAGGGGAATCATATTCAACGGTGAGATCTTGAAGGCCCTAATAGTGATTTATAATGTTTTTAATGTTGGAAGATGTGTAACCTGAGACGCAGTCGGTACTTAGCAACCCTTTAGTGTTATGAAGACACTACCCACTGTAGTGTTGAGGTGCCAGTAACCATACATGATCATACAACGTCCTAATATCTTATTTGTTTTACAAGAAGCTGTTCTATCTTGACACCCGACCGGCTAAAACGCTGCACATTCGACCCAAACCCGAATATTGATTCCTAGATCTGCGATAATAACTTTGTCATAGCTGGGTAACGCGATCCGGGGATTGAATGATATTTCGGGATAACCTGATTTGTTGAAATGACCAATGCCATCGCACGTGGAGATTCTCAAGGGAGGGAAATTCATAATATCATAGGAGTAGACTCTAGTCGTAATAGTCCATGTAGAATGTGAGTAAAGAGTTGCCACTGATAAGTTAGGGTCATGAATGTGATTGATGTAATAGTAGCACGTCTATATAGACTTGAAATCGCATTGCTAGTTCAAAGTTTATTGGCAGATTGAACCGGGGAGTAGGTACGAATAAACCCTGGAATCGTCTGCAACTCGCTGTCCTGCCCACGGCGCCCTCGCGCTCTGGATGCTTCCTTCTTCAAACCCCTCGATTCTACTAGCAAATTGTCATCTGTAGGTTCTCCATTGCAATAGTTTCCCTTGATATAGAGACAGTAGCTGCGAAGTCCATTGACTTCCTTGGTCTTGCCTGGGGTAGCCGCCTTCATTGGCTCCAGCTCTGGGATTGACCTGGCAACGGTTGTACCCGTAAAGGTATTGTAGGCATCTGCGACATCTTGGAGGCTAGTGTAATCTGAAATGGCCCAGATGGTCCTTTTGTCATATTTTGCAGGATTGAGAAGGACCGCATGGACAACATCTCCATAGTCATCTCGAACTGACGTCCAAGGGATTCGGTTGTTGGGCATGGGGAAGATCTTGAGGGTCAGGTAGCCTTCCTTGTCTGGAATGGTTGCAAACCCCCCAAACGCCTTCCCGTACGTCTCCATCCAGAATATGTCCATTGCCCAGCCAATATTGACCTCGATGAAGGATTCAAAACCAGCACGGCGACCGTAGTTGGCAATGGCGTTCTTGTTATCGAATGATAGAATGGAAACTTCTCCCTTTGTAAGGCGATTAGCCTCAGGCAACCCGGCAAAGGCAAAATATTTGACGCCTTGCCTCATGGCAGCGTCAATGACAAGCTTCCCCATGGCCGACTCGGGAGGCCCAATCTCGTTCTTGAAGTTGGCATCATCGGAATCTGTGTTGAGGAAGACGGCATAGACACCTCTGAAGGCAGCGTCCAGTTCATCAGAGTTCCAGGAGTTGGCCTTAACAACGTCAAATCCCTCGTCAATACGTCGCTTGGCTTTGGCTGTTGTTGTGTCCCGGGTGGTCAGCCTCACGCGCCACTCGGGGTTGTCTTGAAGGCTCCGAGCAACAGAGCCTCCCACCATACCGGTACCACCGATAACCACGACGAGCTTTTTGGACATTTGGAATGTGATGGCGATATTGTTTCAGCAGTCGAGTAATATCATACAAGATAGCACTTGTAACAAACTGTGCTCTGGGCTATAGAAGCGAATGAATCTCGACTGGGAACCTCTGGCAGCTTTCTCAACTGAATTCTTATAGTCTTGTTCTTGTCCAAAGGTTTGCCGTCGGAAAGTCATCCGTTAGTAAGGTAGGATCTGCGAGGCATGAGCATTCGTGATGCAAGTTGATCCGAATGGTCTCGGTCCGTGGCGGGAACAGGAAAGATAGGTCCACCGGGCATATCCAGGTCAGCTTTGTACATGCCTACACCTGTATCCTACCTGGCAGGTTGGAGTCGGGTCCCGGGGAGCCCGAGTCAGCATATCTGGCCCTCAATTAACGGTGGTGAAGTCGAAGGAGGGGGATGGGACATGGGAGAGAGTACGTACTCCTTTCATTTCGGGCGGATAAACGACGAGCTCCCATTGGCTGCGACAATCCCGTCCCAGTGAGGGTCTAGGTGGGGAAAGCTCCCCACAAAGAAGGGTCCGTGTTGCGCCCCGCTTATTTTCTGCGCACTGTGTCAGAAATTCTTTCCCTCTTTGGCAACAACGCTTAGCTGCGAGTTGAATGCTGTAGGTATGATTCTGCGTAACCCTGGTCGACAATCGGCTTTCAGATATTGAAGTGTCGTTGCATGGATGGCGAAGTGCCCTAGAACTTGCTGTTTTTGCCTTCTCCATGCATGTCTTCGGGACCAACCGGTCTTGAATGTGCTTGACAAGCGGTGTCTCATCCTGATGCACATATAAAGAGCCTTTGGGAGATCAAAACAGACACTGGCTAGAATAAAGCTACTTATCAAGCCCTCTTTCTTCATTTTCTGTCTTTCTCACTACCAGACTACTCTGTTCCAAGCTAGCCATGACAATCGTTGAAGATCTGTCCGGCCAACGCCGGTATGACTATATCATTGTTGGCGGGGGTACTGCTGGCTGTGTCGTTGCCAGTAGACTTGCGGAGACCCTCCCCTATGCCAACATCATCATGATTGAGGGAGGTGCAAGTGATTTCGGCAACGAAAACATTCTCAACCTCAAGGGCCTAGTCGACCTCTGGGGTTCCGAAGACTATGACTACGAGTATCGGTCTGTCCCACAGCCATTCGGTAAGGCTGCAATCGCACACACTTTCAATACAGCCTTCAACAGTTGAGCATACTAATCACCTTGTCTCTAGGTAATAGCAACATTCTCCATTCCCGAGCCAAGATGTTGGGAGGCTGCTCAAGCCACAACGGGGGCATCTCCTTCATTCCATTCGAACTTGACCTGGCCAGATGGCAGAAGCTGGGCGCCACTGGTTGGAGCCACGCCGAAATGGTGCGTCTCTACAACAAGCTTCGTGTCAACATTATCCCCGTCGACGACCGCCACCGCAGCCAGCTGGTCAAGGATTGGATCACAACCTGCTCTAACCTCTTCAACGTTCCCATCGTCAAAGACTTTAACCAGGAGATTGCTCGGAACGGGAAGCTTACCCCGGCAACTGGCTTCCTTAGTGTCTCGTACACCCCCGAGAATAACCACCGGAGCAGCGCAAGTGTGGCCTACATACATCCCATCTTGCGAGGAGATGAACACCGGCCCAACTTGACCATCCTCCAAAAGTCTCGCGTCATGAAGATTTTGATTAGAGACCAAACAGCGGTCGGTGTCCGGGTCAAAACGGACGCCGGAAAGAGTTTTAATGTTGGTGCAAGCAGAGAAGTGATTCTCACAGCTGGTGCTATTGATACTCCCCGTCTCATGCTTTTGTCTGGTCTCGGCCCACGTTCTCAGCTGGAATCACTCAACATACCCGTCGTGAAGGATCTTCCCGGGGTAGGGGAGAATCTGCAAGACCACGTCGAGAGCATGTACATGTGGGAGCTCAACGAGAAAACCCCACCTGAACAAGTGGCCATGGGGTCCGAGGCCAGCTTGGTGCTCCGGCGCGAGGTCCCAAACGCCAGAGGAGATGATGGCGATGCGATCGACACCATGTTCCACATGTTCACTGTCCCGTTTGACATGTACACGAAGCCCATGGGCTACGAAACCCCCAAGCATGCCTTTTGCGTCATCCCCTACAATCCAAGGCCCGCTTCTGTCGGTCGAATGTATCTCAAGTCGGCCGACCCGAATGAGAAACCAGCCCTAGACCAGCGGTACTTTAGCGATTCCGAGGGCTACGACAAGGATACGAATCTGTTTATGCTCAAAGCGGCGCGAAAGATGGCGCAGGCGGGGCCTTTCAAGAACTATCTGAAACGAGAGATTGCGCCGGGCCCCAAGGTTACCACGGATGAGCAGCTTTGCGAGTACGGGCGCAAGGTCTCAAACACAGTCTATCATCCCTGTGGAACAGCCAAGCTGGGAGACCTCAGGGACGATCCCATGGCCGTGGTGGATCCAGAGCTCAGGGTTCGAGGAATCAAGAGCCTGCGTGTCGCCGACGCGAGTGTATTCCCATGCATGACATCAATCAACCCCATGGTGACGGTTCTTTGCATTGGGGAGAAGGCGGCGGAGTTGATTGTTGCAGACTCCAAAGGGCTGAGCGCGGTACTGTAGATTTTAAGTGTAGAGTCTTCTTCCATACGTGCTACATACATTTTGTACCTACATAGCTTTGAGAGAATAAATGTTGCATTTATTAGGAGAGCTCTGATTCTATTTCCCTTCATTTAGACACCAATAGTAGTAGTCAAAGCGGTATTGACAAGCACACTCGCTTCTCAAATTGAAGCTTGATCCAATCCAAGTTGGTGACAAAAACGGCTTTGGAATAGGCAAAACATCTTATGGGAGAAGCCATTGAAGCTTCATTGCCACTTTGAGTTCAGTCACAATCAGGCTGGAACGTAGGGATGGTGATTTCAGGGCACGACAAGGCTCACCCGCCAAATGGTCGGACGGGTAGAAACAGATTGTTATTTGTATGAAGAATATGTACAGGCTCAGACATCCACGTAATTCCGACAGGTTTACATGCTTCCTTGTTCATCTTAGTAAGAGCTCGTCTCTTAGTCGTTTCAGATGGTTCACTGTTCGTGCTCCCGGGTAACAACTGGGTTACCACTGTGCCTAAAGCTATGCCGAGCTCTGAAAACCCAGTCCAAAACCCCATACACAAAAGCAATTACATAGAGAACTGAAATATAGTTCATATCTTGATGTTTTGTAACAGTCAGCAGATCTGTTCTCAGGACGATGGCAATGGGTATGGTGGATACTTACTTGTTGCAGTAGCTGGCATTATGAATGGGAATGAATACATAATGATAGTAAAGAGGCAGAAAACCAAGGTAATGATCTTGGCGATGACTCCAAGGACTCCGAGATGGAAGGGACCCTTGGGTTGATTTTTGCCCCTCCATATGGAACTGGCAATGGGGATCAAATAAGTCAAATATGGAAAGACAATAACACCAGTAATGAGGCTATATAAATGTCAGTGATTCGTGAGAGACGAAATTCAATCCCCGAGTATAAACATACCTGGCGAAAGCCGTGCTGGAAGCAATGTAGATCAGGGTCAAAACGATCACAATGCAGACAGAAAGGATATGAGCGTTCAATGGCACGTTGGTCTTGGGATGGACTTGGGACCAGATCCTTGAGAATGGCATGCCATTGTCCCGAGCAAAAGCCCAGCACATTCGGCTCTGGTATGCCTGTTGGGGAAAGAGAGAGAAGATATAGGCAAGTGTGATAAAGGAGACGGCAGTGATGGCTGCGTTTTGGCTCTGGAACGACACATTGAGGAGCTCAATTAGAGGAATCCTGGTTGGAGTGTTCAAAACGCGATCGTACTCGGTCATGCTGTACAAGATTACGCAAGCGAATGGAAAGGCGGTACAAAAGCCAATACAGACTGTGCATATAATGGCTCTAGGAACGTTGCGGGCTGGGTTGGGGGTTTCTTCGGCCAAGTGTGCTGCACTATCAAGGAAAGCAAAAGGAAAGTTGGCATTGATCAGACCGACGACAAAGGCGATTCCGTCTGATGCCCATCCACTCGAGTTTTCGAGGGTCGCGAAGATGAATGTAGCGTCCGTATGAGCGTGTGACCGGACGGGAATGACAATGGTCAGGGCAATGCAAGTGAGGAGGCTAACCCAAAGGCCGACGATGACACTGGTTGCAACGGCCTTTGTCCAGAGATTGAGGATGGCTCCGATGAGATTCATGGCAACAGCCAACAAGTAGATGCGCCATTCGCTTATGTCACTAATCTTGGTCAGTCAATGTGAATGTCGGTAGAGGCACTAATCGGGCCTGTTGATAGTCTCTTACACTGATGGGCACGCAAGCTTGATACACCCAAAGACGAACTGGCTGACAGCAATGGTGGAGCTAGCTGTGATACAGTAGGCAGCAAATAGATTACATACTCCCGTTATGTATGCTGCTACACGAGACACCTTCTTGGGAGCGAGCGTCAGTGCCCAATAATACTGCCCGCCAGAGGTGGGCATGGCACTGATCAGCTCGCTGAGCGAAATGGCTACAAAGATGTTGAGAATAAACATCAGAATCAGCCCATAGGTGATGCTGGCAGGTCCGGCAGCGCTGATTCCCGAGGTGAACCCAGATGCGACACCAAGCCATGAGTTGGTCACCGTGAAGGCGCTGCAGATCAGCTGAAACGGGGAGAATTCGCGTTTCATCTGGGGATTGTAGCCCATTTCTGTCCAGAAGCTTATTAGGCAAATACTATAGAAACCGAGGACCTGGCAGGTGAGGATGTAAACACACGTTCGAGGAAGAAGTCGTCATTCATGGTTATCTCCTCCGTCCCAGAACCAGACAAGGCCACCTCGTCAACGACACCTGTCGAAGGTTTGGGTTGTTTGGGTGATTCTTCCATGGTCTTCAAAAGTATAATGGAAAAATTCGATATGCGGAGTTGTCAAGAGGTATACAAGTTTTTGGGCTCAGTAGAAGGGTTGAGAAAGTTCAGTCGACGAGGTTATGATGTCCAGCCATTGGGTTAATAAAGAGCCAGGCGATAGCCACGGAGCGAAGTTATCTACAATGGTGAGGCTAGTATCTCTGCCAACCACCTACCTACCTTAGGTGGTCGTATCCACGCGCAGCGCAGTTCTTCACCCCCGGTAGTCAGGGGGGATTCTGGGGGAAGCGGCTGCGTTCTGGATTGACGGGAAAGTCTGCTGCGGGCGTTGGCTCGCTCCTCGTCCAAAAACGGCAGGTGGATCTTCTCCCCGCACTTGCGAAGGTCCCATTGATCTATTTAGGTTTGGTAGTGACACTCGAAGTTGGCCAGACCCATCTTAGCAGACACGCCAACTGATGGCTGACCAATCCTGCACATGGTAAACCGCGAGATCGAGACTCAAAGGACCCTGTATCAAAGACACTCACTGGCCAACTTGTGATTCGACATGGCGTCTAACAGTCACACACTCATGCAACCATGATCCACGCATTCTTGGGCATGGGGCGAAGCCAATGCAGAAGGTCGGGATGGAGAATTGGGGACAGTTCTAACCTTCGGTTTCGTGGGAAACTGTCAAGTGCTTTGTCCTTCTGGGTGTCTCAAGTCTCCTGTTCCAACGATCCTGCAACAAGACAAGGTGCCGAGGTGAGTGGGGGACACCACCTTGGCTACTTGAGTCAGGCAACGACTGACGTGCCGTGCCCTACCCTATGGATGCATTAATTCCCCCAGATTCTTTCCAGATGAGGCCAGAGACCGACATATGGCAGGAGGCAACGACTCTCAGTTGTTACCAAATGATACAATGGCACATGACCACTACACTCTGCTCAAGTCCAAGCCCAGAGCTCTTTCGAGCTAACTTGATCCTAACAAATATGTTCTCCAATGCCACGAAAATTATATATTAGGTTAATCTATCAGATTGAACCATGACTTTGGTAGCTGAGGATCAAACCGTCGTTGAGCTAGCCTACGTTCCCTTCTGGGAGGCAACACGAGATGGATTCTACACCTCCCCAAGACGGGTCCTTCACCACCTTGGTCTCCGTTGATAAGAAACTTACAGGTACCCATGGATACATATAGACTGGCCTTGGTAGACAGTACTTTCATGGACCCTCAGCTCAGGACAGAGGGCACACATGGCCAAGGTAGTTTGTTGCGTCTCCTCGGGTCCGACCTCAGGCCCGCATCGTATCAAAGGGGGCGTTTCTATTATGTCAAGGATGTCCGGAATGTAGCTGTATCGTGATTTATTGGCCAATCTTTATCGAGGTATTTCAACTTGCTTGCCTGAAGGGGATTAGACCAGGACGGCATTAATTGTTCTGTGGGGCCAATCTTCATGTTATGAACCAAGCCCTCCTGCAACTGGCTCGCTCTCCTACCATACTGGGCATGTTTATGCAAGAGAGAAGCGGGGCAGTAAATCAAAGGCCATGAATCCAATTCTGCGACTTCTAGCCTCAAGACTCTTCATTCATACCGATTACTAGATATAATCTTATCCCATGTACGTCCACGGAACGCTGGGGTACGAAGCACCGACTCAGTATCCATATCTCAGGACCTCTCCAAGCATTATTCACCATGATCATTGCCATCGCCGGCTTCGGCGACTTGACGCGATACGTTGTCGAGGAATTCCCAATTGCCGGCCACCAAGTTGTCATTTTAACTCGTTCCCTCAAATCTTTGTTACATCACCCAGCAGTGCGCCAGCGTGTCACAGACTACTCAGATGAATCGCTTGACGAGGCTTTGGCTGATTGCGAAGCCCTTATATCGACCATCGTGGACCTATCCCAGTCGTACGTTGACGTCCACCTGAAGCTGCTTTCGGCGTGCCAGCGAAGCAAGCAGTGCAAGAAATTCATCCCCTCTGAATTCGCCGGCAACGCCCGAGATTTCCCAGACCAGCCCGCCTACTTTCGTCACTTCAACGCAACTGTGCGGGAGGCTCTGCGTGGCCAAAACGAGGTGCAATGGACAATCGTCTGTGTGGGCTTCTTTGCGGACTACATCGTCCCTGCGCAAAATCGCTACATTCGGGATATGAGAGAAGGCTCCCTCATCAATTACAATGTCAAAGAAATTCTTGTTCCCAACAGCCTCACAGACACCATCGACATGACATCTGCGAGGGATGTTATTCGGGGACTGGCCGCGCTCGTTAGAGCACCAGAATGGGACCAGTTTACTTTTATGTCGGGCGAGAAGACGTCGTGGGAGAACATTGCGAAGCTCATTCACCGCAGACACCCCGACTTTGTTGCGCGAGTTAAAACATTGAACCAGATTATTGATTTATTAGCCCCCGGGAACAGCGATGATGACATCCTTTTCGCTCAGTTGTTATTGTATTCTGCATCTGGTGCAGCAACTTGTCCCGAACAAGCTGTATCTCAGCAAAGAAAGAAGCTCTTTGGCACTGTGACTTTCCGATCACTAGAGGATCTCTTGTCCGCTGTTGAACAGGACCCTCAGATAATTATCTAAAGACATACTCTGTCGAGGACAGTTCTACTACTGGGATTAGCTATAAGCTAATTATAGAGCAGTCTACTTAGTTATAATTACTTTAGAACTAGCTTTATAACTAGCCTAGTTCTATAGTTAGAATAATAACTTAATTAATTATCTTTATAATCTATTTTATCTATAAGTATATACTTTAAAAAAGCCTTTTAATACTAATTAGTAGTTATATAATAGCTATAAATTAATAAAGAAGAAAAAATAGAATTTTCTAAATATCTAGAGAAATATAGTATTTCTATAAATATTAATTTTATACTATAGAACTATATATAATATATAATATAATAATATTATTTTTTTTATTAGTTTTATTATAAATAAGAATATATTCTAAGATTAAATAATATATAAAATCTAATTATATAATTTTTTTAAGAATATAATTAGTAATCTATATCTAAACCTTTAATATTATAAAATAAAGTTAAAATTAAATACTTTTAATCTAGATATAGATATTAAGATTTTAAAAACTCTAATAATAGAAGCTATTTATATAGCTAGATATATAAATAGCCTAGCTATAGCTATAGCCTCTAAGAGAGAAAGCTTATTATTTAATAATAATAACTATCTTTTCTTTCTAACTTAAAGCTTATCTTAATTTAGATTAATTAATTATATTATTAATTAATTACTTAATTAATTAATTAATTATTAGATAACTTAAATAGTTATAATATCTAATATAAATATTCTAATCTCTTAAAGCTTAATTAATATTTCTAATAAAACCTTTAAAATAATAATAACTATTATTCTAAATAATCTAATATAGCTATTTATTAATTATATTTATAATATATTTTTATAATTAGTTAAAAGCTTATTTATAATAATAAAGCTATTATTAATTATATAAATCTAGTAGTTATATTTACTTAGTTTATTATTTTATTATATAATTTACTATTTATAGCTATTATAATTACTATAAATACTTATAGAGAATTAAAATTAGTTTAAATAAATACTATATCTTAAAAATAACTATTCTCTTATATAGATTTACTATAGTTTAATATATAATTTATAGTTTTAATATATTATATACTATATTAAATTAATAAGAATAGAAATAGCTTTTAAGAATTAATTTATTAATTAAGCTTTTTATATTTTAGAATAATTTAGATTAAAATATTAGTTAGATTAGATTAAGCTTAATATTAGTATATTAAAGTTTATTTTAATTTAATTTAAATTATATTTATTTAGAAATAAAAGAAAAATTAATTATTTAAAATTATTAATTAAGTTTATATCTATAAATATAATATATATTTACTATTATAGAAAATTTTTATTAAATAATATAGATTTAATATTAATCTAATATTTATTTATATATATTTAGTTATACTATATAATAATAATATTATTATTATTTTTTATATATTTTAAATAATTACTTTAGAGATTATTTATTTCTCTAATAATATTATTAATACTAGAAAATATCTCTAAAGAATATTTTATTATATATATCTTCCTATTAATATAAATAGAAATAATTAATAAAATTACTTTTCTTTTTAATTATTTAATTTTAAAGTTTATTTATATAGAATACTTTTCTTTTTCTAATTCTAAAAAAAGATAAGAAATCTCTTATATCTCTATTTTATTATTATTCTAATTTCTTTATATTTTATTAGAATTTTTCTAAATAGAGATTTTTATTTTCTAATAAAAATAGAACTCTATATATCTTTATTATTAAATCTACTATATACTTTAGAATCTATATTCTAAGTAAATATAATAGTATTATTAATATAATTATTATCTATAGTATCTCTTTTTAAATATAATAAAATAAAAGAGATTTTTAATATAATTAAACTAATAAAGATCTATTTTAATATTATTAATTAAATAAACTATCTAATTTTAATAGCTTAAATTATTATTTTTAAACTTATTAATATATATATAGTATATTATATATATTATTATAAATATATTAATCTATATAGTAGTAATTTATTAAGTAAGTTTATATATAACTTTAGAAATTAATTATTAGAAAAGTTTATATTTCTAAATACTAATATTACTAAAGAGTTAAAATATATATTATAATATAATAATATTTTTATTAGATCTCTAAATAATACTTTTAAAATAGCTCTTAATAATATATAAAAACTAGAGAATTTATTAGAATAACTAAGAAATTTATAGTTTTTTATAAATATTTTTAATTTAAACTTTTAATAATTTTAATTATAAAAATAATATAAAAAAACTTAAGAATATATATTATTAATATTATAATTATTCTAAGAAAAAGATATAATTTATATAATTAAAATTAATAAAATAGAAATATTTTAAATAAATATAAATTTAATTCTATAAATATTTTTATTTTTTTAAAATCTAATTCTAAAGTAGTAATTAGAAAATTATATATTTAGATTATATAATTTATATTATAATTTCCTACTAGAAAATAATCTTAAAATAAGTATTATATTTATATAAAACTTCTAGTTTTAATATATTAAGAAAGAATATATATTTAAAAAAATATATTTTAAATTAAAATAATATTTTAATAATACTATTAATAAGTAATAATATTATTATAATTAAACTTAAATTAATATTATTTTAATATAAATAAATAAAGAGAATAAAGATTTTATAATATATTAGATATTATAAAAGATTTTTATAATTCTTATAAAGATTTAAAAAGTATTTAGAAATAATTATAAAGAGAATAATAATCTTAAAGATATTATAATAAAAGTATATAAAAGCTTAAGGAAATTAGAAATAGTATTCTAAAAAGAATATATAAATACTAAAGCTCTTATATAAAGTTTTATACTAGCTTTAGAGATAAACCTATTAAGATAGTTAGAATAAAACTTAATAATCTTAATAGCTTAGAATATAATAAGAGATATATACTTTATTAATTAATAATATAAATATATCTAGAAATTACTAAATAAAATATAATAATAATTTTATTATTTTTTAAATATAAAAGAAAGATTATCTAATAAAGATTTTATTAATTAAAACTTAAGATTATAATATAATAGCTAGAGAAAATATTACTTTATTTATAATAAGCTTAAGTATTAGTTAATAAACTATAAAAATTCTAATAACTATAATAATCTAAATAAGAAAAACTAGTATATAAATAATAAGAAATAATAACTAGTATAATATTTATTTAATAAGATATTTTAATATTTACTTTTTAAAAAAAAAATCTAGAAAAAATTATAAAATCTATTATAGTTTATTATTAAAGAAAGATATATAATATAATTCTAAAGAATTATATTAAATATAAATATTTTATTAATTTAATTATAAATAAATTATAATTTAAAATACTTTAATAAATTAATTTATTAATTAAACTAAATACTATAATTAATATAAAAATATTAAGTTTAAAAAAAAGCTTATAGAATTATTTAGTATAATAAAGTTATATATTTTATTTAGACTTATTATATTTTATATAATAAACTTAGAAATCTCTTTTATAATATATTTCTATAATATAGATTATTTAAATATTAAGTTTAAAAATATAATTAATAAAGTAATTAGAATTATAAATAGTTTCTTTATTCTAACTATAAAAAAATAGAATTATATATAGTTCTTTCTAGAGTATATACTAATAGCTAATATAGTTTATTTAATAGAACTAGAATTAAAATAGTTTTACTACTATTTTAACTATCTATTAGTAAAGAGATTATATTAGTTTCTAAAGAGAGTAAATTATAAAAATATAAATAAAGAGATAATAAAAAAGATTAAATACTTCTATTAGTAATTCTATAATAGTTCTTAGTAGAATCTATTAAAATTTAGTAAATAAATTTTTATATTAATAAAAGATAGAAAATAAAATCTATTATTAAAGAATTATTAATCTATTAGTTAGAAATTTATATTATATAATAAAAAATATCTATTTATCTAGTATTTAATTAATATTTCTAATATTTTTATTAGAAATATTATTTATTTAGTATTTTAATAAGATTTTAATTAAAAGTATAATTAAACTAGATTTTATTAAAATCCTTACTTATACTATTTACTATTTTTTTAACTTATTTTATTAATATATTTAATCTTAATATTATATAATTTATAGTATTATACTAAATATAATAAAGCTATTTATCTATTTTATATAATATCTATTTATTATCTATAAATAATACTAATATACTTATATTAATAAAGAGATAGAATTTTATCTATTATTAATTCTATAATAGTTTCTAGTAGAATCTATTAAAATTTAATAAGTAAATTTTTATATTAATAAAAGATAGAGAGTAAGATCTATTACTAAGGGTTTATTAATTTATTAATTAGAAATTTAGATTATTTTACTAAAAAAATATATTTATTTAGTATTTAATTAATATTTCTAATATTCCTACTAGGAATATTATTTATTTAGTATTTTAATAAGATTTTAATTAAAAATATAATTAAACTAGATCTTATTAAAATTTTTATTTATATTATCTATTACTTTTAAAATCTACTCTATTAATATATTTAATCTTAATATTATATAATCTATAGTATTATACTAAATATAATAAAGCTATTTATCTATTTTATATAATATCTATTTATTATTATTATAAATAAAGAAATACCCCTGGTATTATATATCCTGCCCCTACTTTTTATACTAATAAAGAAAGGATTACTTAGGATTACCAGTAAGCCTATATAATCTAAGATCAGACTTACTCTGGATTACTAGTAAGCCTGTATAAGCTACCTAGTATATATATATATTTATTTTATTAGATAGAATATCCTTTCAGATAGTTATTAATATAATTATCTATATACCTATTATTACTAGCTTTATAATACTTATATATTAATAGTAACTTATATTATATAGTCTAAGATAACCTAATTATACTACTCAGAATAATACTCTAATTAGTTTAACCCTAACCTATTCTAGACCCTGTTTAGTATAAGTTATCTAACTATTATATATTAATAACTCTTATTCAGCTGATTATTTTATCTTAATTACTATATAATAATAAAGAAGATATTATAGCTACTATAGTTCTATAAGCTTAATAGTATACTATACCTACTACTAACTACTTACTAGCTCTATATATTAAAGATATAATAGATAAGAATAATAGTAATAGTAGTAGTAGTAGTAATAATAATACTGAAGTTAAACTCCTTAGGGAATAAATTCTTTAACTTTAAGAGTACCTTATAACTATATAGTAAGAAATAGCTACTACTACTATCCTTATAGAATAATAAGCTGCTCAGAATACTAACCTTTAGGCCCAGGCTCAGGCTATAACCTAAGGAAGGGAGCTAGGAGTACTACTTAAGCTACTATTACCTAAAATATTTAATAGAACCCAGAATAAGCTTTAAGGCTTTATAATCTAACTCTGAGTATACTTTAACTATTTCCCTATTACTCTTAATAGTAATAAATAATAAGTTATATATATCTATTTATAACTTAAGGGAGCTATATTTAATTAGTTTAAATCTATTATAAGAGAATATCTTAATAGATAAGGAAGCTAATAAACTATTAATATTATAATAAGCTTTAACTACTTTATAGAAGTTCTCTAATAAACCTTTAGAATTTAAGATAAGAGATATAAGACTGAATATAAAATTAATAAACTCTCTTAAACTAGATCTACTTCTATCTTTAGTAGTAGGTACCTCTAGCTTTTAGTAAAAACTGAATAGGACTAGAAATATACTATATTATACTACTTTAATAGGCTAAAGGAAGAAGTCTAGAAAGAACTCTATAAGGAAGATAGGCTAGTAAGTATTTATAAATATATAACTATAGCTATAAGAATTAATAACTAATAATATTATTAGTAAACTTATAGTAAAAAGATAACCTACTATACTAATAACAGTTAATTATAATAGTAATAATAAACTACAGTCTCTGGGATATATATAGGTCCTATAGAACTAGGAGCTATAGAAAAATATAAGTATTATAATTATAATAAGATTAAATATATCTTATCCTAATATCTAAAACCTAAAAAGCAGAAGAATTAGAGATCTACTAAAGAAGATAAAAAATAATTAGGAGTAACTAGGAAAACTAAGATAAAGATACTTAGAATAGTTAGGAAAACTACTCAGGAAGAAAACTATATAACTACTATAGTTCCTATATTTTCCAGATAATCTATATTAAAATTTAATAAGATACTGGAAACTAGTAAAATACTAATAGTATTAGAAGGAAACTACTAATATATTATAAATATCTTTAGAGAACTTAAATAAAAATATAAGGATAGAAGGGATATTATAGACCTCGGGCCCCTTACTAAATATAAGTATATATTTTACTATATTAATAGGCTTATTAAATATACTTCTAAGGAATAAGAATAATATATATTTACTAGGGATAAAATTAAAGCTGAATATAATAAACTCTATATCTATTACTAGTAGAAGATATAAATATAAGACCTAGATCTAGAAAAAATATCTAGAATAGTATTATATAGAAGAGATATTATTATTATTATTTACCCTAGGTACTAGGTCTAGCTAGTCTTTAGTCCCTCTATCTAATCTCTAATAAGGGAAAACCTTATATATAGGATAAAAACCTTATTCTACTTATTTCCTCTGCAGCTTTATCTAGATACTAATATAGCTCCTAGTTTCCTACCTTTCTTTATTTATCCGCTATATTTCTATCTTAGCTCTTATCTGCTAGTTAGTATAGATAGGGTAGTCTTTAACTTATATCTGTATAGAACATAATTTAGCTCTATCTCAGGGTTAACTTCTTATAGCTAGCCTTAAATAATTAATTTAGAGGGTATTTTTCCTATTATCTGATTAGTTAGCCTTATTTCCTACTTTCTAGTTTTAATTTTCTTTTTAGGAGTTATCTAGGTAGGATTTTTTTATTATCTTTATTTTTCAGTTTATCTAATCTGTTCCCTATATATAGTTAGTATAGCTCTAGCTCAGTTCCTTAGCTTTATATTCTTCTCTATTTAACTTTTTTAGTTATAGATTAGGAAGATATAATTACTATACTAGTTCGGGTTAGTTATAATACAGATTCCTTATATATTTACTATTACTTATATAACTTTTTAGTATCTAGTATATTTTCCTTATAGGTTCTTAGATTACTTAGATTACTTATACTCTTTTCTATACCTATAAATACCTTTTTTCCCCCTAACTTCTTTTCCTCTTTTCTTCTCTTTCTTCCTTATATAACCAGATAATTAGATAAGTTCCCCCCTTTCTCTATATTAACTCTAATATAAATAAGATTCAGAGTAGATCCTACTCTATATTATTTCTATACTTCTTCTATCCTATCTTACTCTCTACCCTCTACTACTATACAGATTCAGTTTATTCCCTCCTCCTCTGCTTTATCTCTAGTCTAGCCTCTAGTTTTTTCTAGTTCTTACTATTCTAGAACTAATTACTAGTAGTATATTAGTAGTATAGCTACTAATAGATATACTACCTACTATACTCTCCAGTCTGGTAAGTTTTCTATCTACCTCCAGATTAGTTCTATACTAACCCTATAGTAGGTCTCTAGTCTAAGTCCTACTATAAATATTATAGCCTTAAGATCCCCTGCTTAAAGATAAGTCTATATCTAGTCCTAGTCTCTTCTGATCTTAATCTATATAGTATCCTATTAATTATCCCTCTGCTAAATATATAATTTACTTATAGATCTATACTATTAATATTACTTCCAGTACTAAGAAATTTAATATATATCTTATATCCCTATCCAGTACTCTTCTATATTAGCTTCTATTCTAATCCAGATTATAGTAAGCTTAGTAGGATATACTTATTTTAAAGGCTATAGCTTACTGGCCTAATAAGTCTGCTTATATTCTTATCTCTAGTAGTACTTAGAATTATACTAGTACTACTACCCTCAGCAGCTATATTAGTTCTACTTTAGTTTTATCCTAGGCTCTATATAATAATAAGACTATTATTATTATCTTAGAGACTAAGGGTAAGAAGAATTACTAATAGATAACTGCTCTTAGTACTTAGTTAGATATACTTAATTAAAATATTCTTAATTAGAATTAGCTTTTATATAAACTCCTAGCCCTTATAGCTATAGCTATATTAGAATTAGTTTAGTCTATTCTTAATACCCTTATAGAGGTATCTCCTCCTAATAGAATATTTAGTAAGAGTAAGATTAAGAGTAGTAGTTCTAGTAGGTTTAAAGAGTATATTCCTAGTAGGGCTACTACTAGTTATAATACTAATATATCTAAAGAGCCTTAGATTAATTTCTACCCTAGGTTTACTCTAGGCCCTAATTAGTTCTATAGCTTAGAGTTTTTAGTTTATATACTTAATACTAATATTCTATTCTTCTTTACTGCTTTTATTCTCTTCTATACTTATTTAACTATATATAATAGTTCTATTATTATTTATATTAACTAGATCTAGATATTATCTAATATATTTCCTATTTATATATAGATTAGGTCCTACTTAGGATTTCTATATATTCCTCCTAGTATATCTAGCTTCTTAGTAAGTTTATATTATTCTAGTATTCTAAGATCTAAAACCTATCTTATAATTTTCTATATACTTTATTTTTAGTCTATTATAATATTAAGATTATATTAGGTCTATATTAGTCTTTTAGTACTTAGTTTAGCTTATTAGGTTTTAAATCTAGAGTACTATAAGATAATATAATATATATCCTCCTTCCCTTCTCTATATTAGTATATAGATATATTTACCTTAGGAACTCCCCTTATAAAGAGAAAAGAGACTAAGCCTATCCTCCCTATTCTTACTTATATTAGGAGAGAGCTTTTATATTTTTACAGGAGATTATATCTTTTAAGTACTCCTCTATTAAATCTGACTATTATATCTACTACTTATATTTATCCAGATCTCCTCTATATTATATTTACTTCAGTTTCCTATCTAGCCCTCTACTTAGCTTCTAGATTAAAGTCTTTTCCTTATCTCTAGTACTAGCTTACTCTTAGTAGCTTTACTTTTTAAAACCTTTATCTCTACTAATTTATTATTAACTTAACTACTATACTAACTATAGTTCAGCTTATACTTATAATCCTTCTAGTCTTAAATCTCTTTTCTATTTCTATTACTCTTTTATTTATATAGAGATCTAAGGGTAGTATTAGTACTTCTATTTTAATTATTCTTAGTAGTATAGCTCTATATACCCTGATTATAACCTGAAGGTACTTTAACTGCTATCCAGCTAAGCTCTATATAAGTTCCTATAGTTTACCCTCTTTCTCTATAGGTTTATAGAAGATAGATACTCTATATATTATTATAGATCTTATTATAACTTTATAAACTACTCTTATTTATCTATATAAGTATCTATATATAGATAATATAATTCCAGTTAGAGTTAGTATCTATCTCTTAAGTTTCTTCTGGAGCTTTATTATATATATCTTCTATTAGAGTTTTCTATCTAGTTATATACTAAGGAATTTAACTGCTTTATATAGTTTAACTTATATACCTCCAGTCTATATCTAATCCTTTATTTTTTTCCTTTTCTTTATAAAGTATATAAACTTACTTTTTATTAGATTAAAGATTAATCTAGTAGCTCTTAACTATTCCTTATATTTCTTCTATACCCTAAGGAGTCCCTTCTTTACTATCTCTATATCAGGTCTAAAGCTTAATATATTTATATTATTAGTAAACCCTACTACTAGTATATTAAGAACTTCTTTAAGGGTTTTATATAAAGTACTTATATATAGTATAAAGAGAATTAGTAATAGTAGGAACCCCTATAGTATATCTACTCAAACTAGTATTACTACTATTATCTTACTATTAAATCAGAGCTATACTATCCTCCCCTCTAGAAATATCTTAATCTATTTATAGATATTCTTAGAGTACCCCTTTACTCTAGCTACCTTAAATAGCCTTCTATATAGTACTATATTAAATATACTGCTTATATCTAGAAGCAGTAGTATAATTAATCCTTTAAGTCTCTATACTATCCAGATAGTTTCTATATATATTTTCAGAGCTATTTCTATTAATCTATTATATCTATTTCCTATCTGGCTATTAGGGAGGAGTTTATATACTTCTGCTGCAGTTATAATATAATCTCCTAGTACCTTTTCTATTACCTTACCTATTATACTTAGTAGTAATATTAGCTACTATTCTTTTAGAGTCTTTCTTTCTACTAGTATTTTTTCAGATTTCCTTAGTACTATTATAAGAGCAGCCTGGAACTATACTAGAAAATAGCCTAGTTTAAAGCTCTTAGTAGCTAGGTATATAAGTATTCAGTAAAATAGTTTTCTATATACCTTTAGAAAGCCTATTAGTATTCTATTCTCTCCTAGTACTTTCTATAGTAATATATACTTAAGTATATTCTTAATCTTTTTAGGGGTAACTATTATCTATATTAATATCAGATCTTCTTCCTTTTATTTTAATTCAGAAAGTAGTCCTTACTTATATAATTCTTTCGGGAAAAAGATCCCTACTAATTTTTATACTTTTCCTCTGTAGGTTTATATTAGTTCCCCCCCTTCTCCTATTATATTCAGTATCTTTAGAATCTTATATAGTTCCCAGCTTCTTAGTCTGGCCTATCTCTCTAAAGCTCAGAGCTTCTTATTATTCCAGCTTATTTCTCCTAGTACAGTTTACTATTACTCCTAGTCTGATTCTAATATAGTTCTCTCTTCTAATTTCTCCACCTCTTTTAGATCTTTCTACTATTACTAGCTAGGGTCCGCTATATATTTCCTTTAAGCTACTTTAGTTATTTTAAATACCTTAATAACCTTAGGAATCTACTATTCTTTTCTATCTCTAGATCTAATCCAGGGCCCTATAGAGACTGCCCTATCTATAATCTGATTCAGGTAATTAATAATAAAGTCTGCTAGTACTTCTAGTTATATAATATCTTCAACTTCTAGCAGCAGGCCTTTGAACCTGTTATATTAGAGAAAATTAAAATATTATTAAGATAAATAACTATAAAGATATTAAGATACTTCCGGAGTACTTAATTAATTATTTATTAGAATATTATAGGTATATTTATTAGTCCGAAGGGTATAATAAAGTACTTATAGAAGCTAAATTTTATTCTAAATACTATTTTCTATTTATCTCCTTCTTTAATTTATATTAAATTATAAGCTCCCTTCAGATCTAAGATAGTAAACTACTATTTACCCTATAATCAGTCTCTGAGTTTAGTAATTAGTAGTAAGGGTATTCTGTCTTTATATATAATCTTATTTAGCTATTAATAGTTAATAATTAAATAGAGTTTACTATTTTTCTTTAGTATAAATATTACAGGGTATTCTATAGATAAAGTTAATAAGTATATATAGTCTTTTACTAATATATTATTAATATATTTATAGAGTATTTATAACTAAGGTTCTATAAGATTATATAATTTATAGAAATCTAATTCTCTTTCTTTAATAATAGAGATTTTATAATCCTACTAGCTATATTCTAATAGCCCTGTTTTAAGTTCTTCTATAAATAATATCTTCTTAAAATACTTATATTCCTATAGAATATTCTTAAGATATTCTTCCTGCTTTAAGTATTTCTTTTACTAGTATTTATACTAAGTATCTTTTTCCTTATTCTATTAGGTTTTTTATTAATTATTTATTTAGCTCTATTCTTAGATTCCTATATTAAATAGTTCTAGTAGTAGTTTTTCTATTTTCTTTTACTACCTACTATACTTAACTTTATATTCTTATTATTATTTCTTTATTAATTATTCCTAATTAATAGATATTAAATCTATATCTAAGGGTTATTTTTATTTCTATATCCAGCCTAAGGTTTATATTACTTATCTTAGTTCTTACTATAATAGGTTCCTTATTATACCAGGTTATAGTACTATTAAGGCTAATACTATTATATCTACTTATTATTATAAGTTATTATAAGTTTTTATAGTAGTACTTTTAGATATTAAAAAGTAAATATATTTTCCTAATATCTAATAAAATTTTAATTTTTATTAATCCTAATATTAGTATATAAGAGTATTCCTCTACTCTATCTAGTTAGTATACTAATTAATTAGTAGATTTATATTTTAAAGCTATAGTAATCCTAATATAACTTTATAGATTCCTAATAGTACTAGATTATAGGTAATATTAAATTTTTTTCCTTAGATTTTAATTATAAGATAATCAGTCTTAGAGTTAATAATTCTATTATTATACTTAAACTTTAAGTCTTTAATATTTATAACTATATAGGTTTCTTTCTTCTTTTTCTATAGTAGGTAGAGTTAGTTAATTACTACTAGTAAGATATAATTTTCCTATACTCTATAGTTAATAAATATTATAAACTAGTTCCTCTTAATCTCTACTTCTATAAGGATATATATAGAGCTTTCTACTTCTATAGCTCCTAGAGTCCTCTAATCTATTATTAATATTATTCCGTACTATAGCTCTATTATAGATAGTTTAGATTATTTTTTACCTAGTTAACTTATTCTTAAAGTTATTTCTAATCTTTATTATTTTTTAGTACCTATTTAAGGATATCCTTAAAAGTCTCTGGTTCTTTTATATAACCAGAGATATATTTTATAAACTTAATCCTCTAGTTATATAGTTCTTTAATTATTATAGATATTCTATTATCAGAGTAGACCTTATCCTATTCTTTTTTATTAGTTAAGATTATTCTTTATTTCTCTATTTTACTATTATCTTTACTATCTGTAAGGGATAGTTATTCTCTTAAATAGTATTCTTATAGTTCTTCCTCCTATAGTTATTATTATTTAAGGTATAACTTAGTAGTATTTATATTATTATTACTATTCTATACTAGTACTAGTACTTCTTACTTAATCTCTTAATAGTTTTTATAATTCTAATTATAGTATTATTTAATATAGCTATTATATTTATATATTACCTAGTCTTCTGCCTATTAGTAGTTATACTATAGTTTAACCTTATTATTCTTATAAATCTTATATCCCTATTCCTAATATAATTCTACTAGTAGTTTCCTATTTATATACTTAATAGGGTATTTCTATAGGTTTACCTTAAAGATAGTATATAGTTCTATTCTGTATTATTAATCAGTAAATTATTATATTTAGACTGCTTTATATTTCCTAGGTATTCTCCTATCTAGAAATAGAAAGAAGTTATTTACTACTTTCTCTTACTAATATATAGTATACTATATATTATAGTATATTATCTAAGATTCCTTCTTATAGTTATATTCTCCGCTGGTTTTTATATAGATTAGGTTATTATATCTATTATTAGGGTATTATATAGTATTTATTATATCTCTTCTATAATTAGATTTTTATATCTATATAATAATAGTGATTTTGCTTATAAACCGGATATAGCTACAGGGAGCTAACTAAAATTAAAAATAAACCTAGTAATTAATTCTATAGAGTTAAATTAATCTAAAACTAATACTATACTAAAGATAACCTGATAGTATGGAATACTACCCGATAGAAGTTAATAGTAGGTACTATAGCCTGGAATTAAGTATCTACTACCCTTAGAGAGATCTCTCTAATATTCTATTAGATTAAAGATATACTAAATCTAAGATAAACCCAGGAGAGAAGTATATTAAAGAGGACCCTATAAGGAAAGCCTATAGATAAATTACCGAACTAGTATCTAACAGGGTAGTTCAGTAGATATAGTAAATTATAAAACCCCTATTCAGAGCAGAGCTAATATATAAATATATAGAACTAAGTATAGAAGTAATAATCTAGAAAGCTATAAAGAGTATCTAGATAATAATTATTAAAACTATCTGAGAAATAATTAAGAAGATATCTAATAATAAGGGAGAAAGCCTAGAACTAATCTGGGCCTAGATTATATTTAATATAAACCTAATATATATATATACTAATAATAAACTAAAGCCTGTTCTAGCTTAATATACCTATAAGATAACTATCTAAACTAAAGACTGCTAAATAAATATAAGAGATAGAGATCTAAAGGATATAGTTAAAGCGATTAATATATACAGGAGAACTGGTTCTAAAGTAATTATAGCTAGAAAACTAAGAAGTAGTAATATAACTATTATATTCTATAGGAAGATTAAACAGAATATAAAGAATAAAGAATAAATAAGAGCAGTATTTAGCCCGGAGGTAAAGCTAAGTTAGAGATAATATATAGTAGTAGTAAAAGGAATTAGAGCTATAATAATTATCTAGAATACTAAAGTACTCTGGAAGGAAATAGACTAGATAAACTAAATTAAAATTATAAAAGTAAAGCTAATATAGAAATAAAATAAAACTATACTAAAGCAGAACCTGATCCTAAGTATAGCCTTACCGGAAGAAATAAATATACTATATAAACAGGGAATAATTATAGATACTGAAATTAGCTAATATAAACCCTTTTATAAAGCTATATAACTATACTAATACTATAACTACTATAAGATTAGCTATATAGTATACTATTATAATAAGTAAGTAAGGTATAGCTAATATATAGCTGGGGTATACCTAACTGGAGAGCTCTGCTTAGTAGAGGCTGGAGGAGATATATTAATATATATACTATATAAAGAACTATACCCAGCCTGGATATAAGCCTACCTTGTACTAAGC